AAAAACCAACAGCAAGCAAAGAGACAAGCGAGCAAGTAGCGAAATGAAGCGACGCAAAATTTGACTCTTTTTATGGATCCGTTTTGTTTCCGCGGAAGAGTGGTGAACAGCAAGAACGTTACTGCACTGGACGAGGTCAACCTAAGATTAAAGTCTAAAAATTAGAACCCTCGTAAGTCGTTTAGGTATAGACGGACTGGTGAGTGACAAAAATTGTCTCATTATGTCTTGCATGTGCAATTAATGGTTTTATTCCATCTTGAGGCGTTCTGTGACCATATAAGTATGCATACATAGGATGGCTTTCAGCGAATATGCCGGCAGCGTTTGGCCGTACCGGCAGAAACCAATTTTCAGGTATTACAGTTAAGTGCCTCGACCCGTGTTTTCTGCACCATTGCCAATCACACACATTATATGTAATATACTGCATGACCTTCAATCCTGAATATTGCTTTAAAGTAATAGATTTAATCAGTTAAAAGAATAGTTGAAATAAAAGATAAGCTATTAGTCCAATTTATCAAGGCAACCATTGATTGATTTCGAAAGTTGTGTCACTTGACCTAGCCTTTGTTAATGACCCGACCTGCAATGACGTTTACATTTGGATAATATGCAAAGAAAACATGACGTAACGCCCCCACAGATGGAGCCGAGGGACGTGACCCTCTGAGCCGAAAAGTTAAGGCTAGGATACTTCGTAATCTCGTAGCAATTGTATCCGAACTCGCAGGATTTTGCAACAAACAAAAAATTAATAGTTGGCTCCATGAAGAAGACTTCGACAGCGTGTCTGAGGGAATGATCGAAAACATTTTGTGTGCATTGCGTCATTTCGTTTTCGCAGTGTGCTGGAAAAAATCGTTATTGGAGCCACAAATGTCCCCCCCCCCCCCCCCGACACACCAGTTGGGCTCGGGTTTTTAACACGTACCACACATGAAAGGATACATGTTAAGATGCATTTCATTCCAAGTCTATTATTTTTTAACACGTCACTCATGTAATCTGAAGTGGCCCCTTTTCATTTATTTTCCCCTCCTTTTATGTACGCGACATTCTTATTCCTGGTCGCGCAGAAGCTCCGTACACAAGTCCTGTGGAGACACCCAAGGGCAATACCATCATAGGGGCAAGAGGCAAACTCCTTCTTGCCATTTGTCAAGGGGAGAATTTAGACCCCTCCCTCCTCCCTCCTCCCCCTCCCCCTACTCCGTGTCCGCTCTCCGCTATGTGAGGCACAACGGGCGAGAACCCATCCCCGAAGTCGTTAAACCCGACCGTCTCCTCATGATCTTGTGCGTCCGTTCGGCCACAGCTGAACGCAGCTTCAGCCCGCACCAGGGGCTGAAAACGTGTTTTCGCTTAGTTGTGACAGGACAGGAGGAGGACAGCAGCGAGGTGTGACGTACATAACCTTCACCTGGACGTATTCAGCTCATGCTGCGGTCGCTTTTGCCTGTTTAAACGCATCACGCCAGAGAGCGTTTGGCTGTACTCAGGACCGCATAAAAAACGGTGGCGGTGCAAACATTTAAGAAATGCTTGCACTATTTAAACTGAAAGCAGTGTGTGGTAAGGATGCTTAAATGACCGCCGTAATACGTGGCCAGATTTACTCTGCTATTATTTGTGCATAAGCAAATAAACTCTCTTGGAATCCAGCGTCCAAGCCATTTTGTAACTATGGGTCGAAATACATGACATATCACCCTGCGAACGTTTTACCAGTGTACACACACACACACGTTTATACGCTGATACATTATATGGCCAACTGGTTTAGATGAAATGCGCTGCTGAGAAGAAGCTCCGAAACTGCATACATTTTTCTATTTGCATGAGCCAACAGACGTCCTTCCACGGACGTAGAGGTAATGGTGGGCGTTTCGATTATTTCTTTCCAGTCGACGCCCACAGGGCCAATGAAAATTTTTCGGAAAGTTGTGGGTCTCAGCCCCTCTCCCATCTCCGGTTCCCACGTCCCGATGTCTTACCGTGATGCAGCGTAAGGCACATGAGGAGTTTGCAGGAACTCCAGTTATTAGTTACATTACGCTAGTTTGCTTAGTTATATTACGTTATTATACTCGGTTATATTACGTCATTACACTTAGTCATACTTCGTTATTATACTTAGTTATAACACGTTATCATACTTAGTTATAACACGTTATCATACTTAGTTATATTATACTATACATACATTGTTAGTTATATTACGCATAGCCTCTCACCCATGTATTTTCTACTCAAGTGTCGTGATGGTTTTACAACCTCACCCTCTTCCCCGTCCAAAATTCGTGGTGTCTTCTCAGTGCATAGGTGCTATATGAATACAGTTCCCGGAAAATTAACGGCGTGTTGATGGAGTGCATCTTACCGCGCGAAATAAGCCCCGGCTGATTGAGTAGTTGCTCGGCCTGTCGTGTTCGTCTGGTGTGTTGGTAGGTATGCACACAGCGTTTTGGCCACTAACTCTCTGGCCGTCGTCAGGCGCTATGGAGTCCTGAGAGGGACGGGATAGTGCTTGGCTGTCGACTACGCACGGGCTAAAACTGAATTGTCTTCTTGGCATTGCTGTCTTCTCATTGCGAGTGCAATGTCCTACCAACACCGGGAAGGACAGCTCAGATGGGAAAGCATTTGACTCGGGATCAGAGGACCCTGATTCGAGTTCCAGCATGGAGAGGAGATGATTCGGGTTGATCATGAACGTGGCTGAAAGCCATTTTCACGTAATAAACACAATATCCGCACCGTAACGGTGCGGTTTCGTATTCAGTTGGGAGGCTCCAGCCCCCTTAACCCCAACTTGGGCTTCAAGCCCCGCTCCCCCCCCCCCCCCCCCCACCATTGAGAAGTAAGTGAGCCAAATCCAGAGGGAAACCCGTTTGCTGGAGTATTTACAGTGTACGTTTCGTCATTTTTTTGTCAAATAGTTAACTTACCGAAACATTGTCACTGTGGGTTGCCGTTTGTTGGCAATGAGTGCGTCTTATGCTAGTCAGCGGCGGATGAGCAATAAAAGTGACGCTACCTCTTCCGCCACAAACAAAAATCGAGGGGGGTGGGGAGCATTGAGACTTGCACACCACGCCAGTTCAGGTATGAATGACCCACTTCTCTTTCTACGCCTCCGGTTGTCAAAAGTATCGCCAGAATGATTCGTGTATTGGAAACTTAAGTTGGACTGAAATGCTTTACGTTTGTAAACGAGGTCTGGAACTCCAGAAGTCATATCTTGCCGTGCTTGTGACTTACGACCTCGCTGTAAAAGATCTGCAGACCAAACATGTGGAAGCCAATTGCTCCAAGGGCTGCAAGCTACGCTTGGCTAGCGGCCCTGCGAGTCGCGAGCTACTCTTAGCTCCACGCACCAGATGTTTTTGCATGATATAATCGATCGCTTAGGTGCGTATGTCAGAGCATTTTCAGGACTGGTCATCTTCTATAAGGCCACCCAAGCTTACAGAAACACCTGACCAGACCTTGGAAATCAGCTTAAGGCCGCCGTATGGATGGTTGCGAGGTTGGGAAGTGAGTAAGCAGCACCCGCGGAGTGGCGTCCTGGAAGTTCACCAAAAATTGCCGGCTAAGGTTGCGGTCTGGAAAAGGAGCAGAGCTTCACGGCTTTGTGAAGGACTGCGGGGCGCTGGGCCGTGGCCGGCCTGCAGGGGCGGCAGGGAGGTAAGGGAAACAGACCGGGACAAAAGGCGCATTCCCAGTGCACCAAACATGCTCCTACGCGACGTCATGCGAATCATTTCCGGACATGTTTGTGGCACGACACGTCTTCTGTTTACATCTTCGTAACTGTCGTGACAAGAACGTGCGAACCTGCGTGTGCGAGACACTGCCACTAACGGTCGCAAGCACTACGCGCGCAAGTTACAATAAAGCTGTAAATTATGCTGCTTGTAACGTTACAAGACTTAACCCATCGTCACCCGTCGTCATCCAGTGGCGGAAAAAAGATTCTGCGCGTCCGGGGAAGATTCTGCGTGACGTCACGTTCAGTCTTTGTTGGTCGGACCGCTGGAAATGTCAAAAAGCGCACAATCTAAGAAGTGGGACGGCGTGAATGACGTCGACGACATTTATTCTTTGTCGTCTGGGTCGCTGCAAACACATCCGCAGACAGATAGCCGACCAGGCACGACAGGGCGGGACGCGAACGGAGAGCAGCTGGGTTTGCTCCGCCCACCACCCCACCAACACCAGAGTCTCATTCTTCCCGCCCTCACGTCGCCCTGTCATCCTGGGCAACGTAAGGGCGGAAAACCAGTGAACAAGCTCGTACTGTTTGTTCACTGGCGTTGTTTTAGCGAGCCGAGCAAATGAAAAAAGCACGGTGCAGTGCGTACAGCTAAGCGAGATCGCCGTTAAGAGGGCGAACGGTTTGAAAAGAAAATCGTGATGAATTTTGAAGGACGCCTAGCTTTGAACGCGACACGAAAGCTGGGCACAAATCACGTTGCATCATGATCTGAAACGACTGCGATATGCCGGTGGTGTCGGAGTACATGGAAAACCAGGCATTGATTAAGGAGTCTTGATGTGCTCTTGTATTTCTGGTGCCGTTGTTGCATGTTCAGTAGAGGTGAGTTACCATCCGCTATTGCACGCATGTGCCTCTGACACCCTTGTCACGGTCTGTCTGTGTTGTCCAGGAGGATTCCCCCGTTTATAGAACAGCAGCTGGAGTGGCTTCTGCAGTTCGGTTGAACCTACTCAGCGAGCCGTGACAGGGTCGGGTGCCGCCCAGTCGGATAAGCTGCGGTGCCGGCCGACCGCCATCGGCCGGCTATCGACAGGGGCCGCTCCACCACGTCCGATCCTGTTTCACCTCTGGTCCGGCCGGGTCCGGCCGGGCCCTGTGTGACCGCCGCTCCGGTGTTCCCGCCCCTTTCCCCCTCCCCGGCCCGATCGCTCGGTCCGCCCGTGCCAACCCGATACCGACCGTAAACACTTCTAGCTGAGATTGTGGTCGGCTCCGCCATGCCGCGCGGCCGGGAACGCCAGTCAGCTGTCCACGCGGCCGCTCCAGCTGTCCGCCTCGCTCTCCGTGTCATGTGGTCGCACCTGCTGCTGTTGGTGGCTCTGCTGGCCGTCCTGCCGGCCCCCGGCCAAGCCGTGCAGACCTTCTCAGCATCTCCCAGCTTCGCGATCGACTACGCCACCGGCACGTTCGTGCGAGACGGCGTGCCCTTCCGCTACGTGGCCGGCACGGTGCACTACTTCCGCGTGCCGCGTGCTTACTGGGCCGACCGACTGCGACGGCTGCGCGCCATGGGTGCAAACGTCGTCCAGACCTACGTGGAGTGGAACAGCCATGAGCCCGAACCGGAGGAGTACAGGTTCACAGGTGAGGTGACACCGCGCGCTGGGCGTCGCTGGTCACACCCTCAGGCGGTGGAGGTGATGGGATGGAACAATTGCTAGGTTTGGGCTCGGGGTGGTTTGGTGAGTCAGTACAAACTGTTGCACGCAGGACATAACTCGTCAACGTGCCTGTACGCGCGTCCACCCGCTCTCAGCTAGTAGACTTTGATGTAAAACGATTGCTCAGATGACGTGTAAGTGCGTGGTGCGGTAGTCAGAGCTACTGCCAATCAACAACACAATGTTCGTAAGCCTCCTGTTTTTGTTTGGAGTTGTTACGATGCATGTATGTGTCTATTAACTCGCGCCCAGCCGGGGGGGGGGGGGGGGGGGACGGAAGTTGACTTTCTCCTACAGTTTTTCGAGCACAGGTGAAAAAGGAACGTTTGCAGCAGCACAAAATTTTCAGTACTTATTCGCCTACCGATTCCGCATCTTTTGTGCAAATCTGAAATGTTGATCTACCAAGATCAGTGACCAGGTCAGATCAAAGATGTCAGCCTATTGGACAATTTGACCACACATAATTTTGTTGCGGGCCATTTACTGTTGTTCAATCTGTGGTGGTGATAGAACATGAGAGTACCTGCAGTTCGTTTATTTCTGGTTTGGCGGAAAATGTGAGATTAAAGCCCCGGCGTCAGGTCAACTTTTCCTATTTTTCGTAAATAATGCACATTTGTACGTATTTCTGTGTGGTTTTGGCGCTTCTGTATGAGATAAAGAGCACTAACTCACATGCGCAACCGTGATATGGCCATAGAGCACATGACCTTGGTCCAGGTCATGATCTACCTCTATGGGTACTCTGCAAAACACATGCTGAGTTCAAACTAAGCAGTTCCATATCATATCATATCATTCATTCATATCACATTCATCATATCATTCCAATGCATGATGAGGTCACAACAGGTCACGTGAAAACATCCAAGGTCATTTGAGATCATCCAAGGTCAATGGGCTATATTACCAGCAGCGGAGAAATCAGACAAACGAGTGCGACGCGTGCAATCACCCCCTTATCGTGTTTATGATAAAGCTGATGGCAATAACATTTCATGTAACAACGTGCCGGCTCTCAGTTTGTTGTAAATGCATTGCCAAGCGTCGAAGGAACTAGGTACAGTGTAAACAATGGCTGTGCGATCTTGGGTGCTGGTAGATGTACAATACACAATTTCTGATCACCGAAAAGCATTGTACTGGTCATATACTACTTTAACTTCAGTACTTAAATGTTGTCCTTTGGATAGCTCATCAGTTTAAACTAAGTTGATCTCAGATGATCTCCAGGTCAGCCTAAGATATATTTTTGGTGTCTAGAATGTTTTTGTCCCACAAGTGCACATAATAAAATAGGCTTTGTCAAAAGCACAGTGTGAGAAGTATTGTTCTTGTAAGTTATTGGTAGACCAACTTTGAACGGTGACCTGATCTGGCCTGACCCTTGTGGGGATACAAGAAAGATCTGAATGGGCTCCAGACAGTCTTAACGCTTTTTTCCTTGCCCTCAATGTCCGTCTTGACGTGATAACATAAGCATTTACTGCAACTATCGAGACGACCTTTTGTTACCTTTCGTGACCTCTGACTACCCCACGTTTGGTCCAAAGCCATATTTTTTGTGCGCGTTTTTCATGATTTGATGAGATCTTTAGAACGGCGTCCTAGTTTTTATCATATGCCGTCTGAAAGTTGGAGATCTCAGGAGGCAAGTGAACTTCCCCTCGGACGGGCGCGATCGTCTCGGATCCCTGTCCGGGCACGGGCAAAATTAATGATATCATTCGTCTGAAAGCGCTTCATGTAAACATCGCTTGAAGTTCATAACCTACCCTTAGGCATCTCAACACGATCCTTACGCAAACATAATCACGTTAATAAATAGACGAAATATTTCGAGCAATCTTATGCCTCTACACGTAAGCCGTTTCCGTGCCTTGGACTCCGCTCTCGTATTATCTCCCGAATGGTAACGCCGCGGTGTAAACGCGTGCTTGGAGAAGCGGCAGCTCCCGTGCTGCGTGTCAGTCAACAGAAGTCGCGGCGTCGGAGGGCGGCAGCAGGCAGCTACGGTCATTGGGAGTCCGGCTGAAAGCCCGGCGCCGCCCCCGTCCGTCCCCAGACGCAGCCGTCCGCGGCCGCCCGGGTCGACACGCCGGCGTCGGCTCTCCGAGCGCGCCTTCCGTCGGCCGCGTCGACACCGTCGGCCTTCAGACGCTCCGCTCGAACGGGCCGGCGGTCGGCTGTTTTATATGCGAACCGCGCTCTGCAGCCATTCCCTCTGAGCCGAGCTCACACGAGTTGTGGGACGGTTCTTATTTGGTGATCTGTTCTGCGGCCGCTCCACCGGCGCCGGCATGTGTTCTTGGCATGCCAGCGCCGCCGGAGCGCGCCTAAGCCCTCAGTCATATGACCAATTTCCAGTTAGCAATATCTTCAAAGCCGGAAATCCCACCGGACTGGCCGTCGAAATGCAGTCCATTTACAGTATAGGCTCGGTTACGACCGTTGCAATCCTGCCCACTCCTACACCGGTAGTGTTATTTGGCTTTTTACAGGCGTTCACCATGTGTGTAACGCATGCACTCTAAAAGCCCTTCGTATGAGCACTGTGGAGATCACTTTTTATTCAAGGATATATTTACCTTCACATTTCCGAAGCTCTATTCATCTTGTAACTACAACATGATAACTGTATAACATAAACAATAATATATATATATATATATATATATATATATGTAAAATTACATGCCCAGATATATGAATATCGTCGCAAAGTGTATCAAAACGTCGTGTTCTGCTTGCATGCTATAAAGCAGACGTCTATCGCCATATTTCGCCAGCGTATTTTGCCAGGAATAATGTGGCCGTTCTACGGTTTATGTTGGAATGGTAAAAAGCATGTACGCTCCGTGTTTAGTTATCAGTAATGCAATGCCCATCTTCTTTTATGGCTGTTTCCTTTATTTTTCTGTATGCCCGAAACCAAGTCAGAACTCTGTTGGGAGGGAGCCTATGGCTCGGATGTTTATGTCCTTCAGTGCAGTTACTGTAAGCCAACTTTTTCCCGCGCCCGTCTAGGTTCGCATCGCGCCGCCGACATAACGGGGATAACAAATTTCGAAACACGTCCGGCGGTTTCCGCCGCCCGCCTGCTGACTCCGCCAAGGCCCCCTCCCCCGGTGTCTGCCCGGTCACCTCGTCCCCCTCCCTCCGCAGGCGAGCAGGACCTGGAGGCGTTCGTGCTTGAGGCGCAGCGGCAGGACCTGTTGGTGATATTGCGCACCGGTCCCTACATGGACGCCGAGCGGGAGCTGGGCGGACTGCCCTACTGGCTGCTCAGCGAGGACCCGCAAATGGCGCTGCGCACCAGCGACCAAGGCTTCCTGCGCCGGGTCGACCGCTGGTTCGGCGTGCTGCTGCCCAAGCTGAAGCCACTGCTGTATGAAAACGGTGGTCCCATCATCATGGTTCAGGTGAGCGCACAAGTGCGAAGGCAGAGGTCACGGTCAAGTCTGTCCCCTCACCATCTGTAGTAATGAGGAAGTCGTGAAGAGGCGTTTTATTAAGAGGTGTTTTAATTAGAGAAAAGAAACCAAAAGTTGCGCGTGGCCTCCCCTCCCTCATTTATACTTCCCCACAGGACCCGCCGTTACTGAGGTGAAAAGACTGACGCGATAGCTGGTGCATTCGATTCCCATGTCAACGAGAGGCTTGTAATTTTCAAATGTGCGTAGCGGAATTTGATGCTACGTCGGCTTGGCGTAGAAATACGACTCTCAACCTTTGCCCGCCATGTGAGTGGTTGATTTCAACTTTATTTAAGAAGGTTCATATTCATTTATGGTGTAAAAACAGCAACATGGCTTTCTTAAAAGTGCGTAATAGCATGTCTATGGCCGTCGGGCATGAAAAGGCGCGGTGAGGGCTGCTACCGGGTGCCACCCACTTTTCTTCAAAGCCGTAACAGATGGACTCCGTGGTGCCACGCGGGAAGTTGGCTTGCATACCGGGTAGCAATGCAGTCATTCCGTGTTGCTGTGATTTGGTTTCTCATCGGCTTGATCAAATAACGATGTGGCAAGGCATCTGCCCACGCTATGCGAACGTTTGTCTGTGGTTTGAGTTAGCGCGACAACCGTCTGCCATCCGTCTCTATTTCTCTGTTACGCTGCCGCTTTATAAGGTGCGTTTCAGCATGATCTGCCCCGTCAGTGTGCTAACTTGCCTCGAGCTCAAATATACAAGCGTGGCGGGACGGGAGGCCAGCATCACTGCTTTGTTGCGGTCAAAGCAACGATTGTCTCAGGAATGGTGGCAGGTGGCTTTCGATGGCTTACTGGCTTAGGCGAATGAATATGTGGTACTCAACTTTCTTACGATATAGAGCAAATCAAAAGCGACCCGGCGTTAAAGCTGGACGTGTTAACCATAAAAATGTGGAAAAAGTATTCTCGCAGGGGAAAACGATTTTTGGCCCGTCATGGTATCTGTTCACATCGATTTGTGCTTGAACCGTAAAGTAAGAATTGACACGCAAAGGCGGGTTTCCCCAGTCATATTCCCTAGCCCAGCGAGTGATGAGATGCAATTAATGAACTGGCTGATTGTGAAGTGTCGAAAAGCAGCTGGCACACCTCAAAGTAATCTGAACAGTTACTCAGCGAAGCGGGCGGACCACACTTGTCTCCTTATATCCTATTTGTGTGACGTGTCTGTCTGTCTGTCTATCTGTCTGTCTGTGTGTCTGTCTGTGTGTCTGTGTGTCTGTGTGTCTGTGTGTCTGTGTGTCTGTCTGTCTGTGTGTCTGTATGTCTGTCTGTCTGTGTGTCTGTCTGTCTGTGCGTCTGTCTGTCTTTTTACGACGCTGACCCATCCGCAGTTTTGGCGGGGAGCGACGGGGGTCTGAAATTTGCACACGATGCACGTGCGCACGAGGTAGTTTGGTGGGTTGCGGGGCAGTTCGTTGCGAGCCGATACGGTGCGCGGTTCGTGTGTGGCAAGTGCCAAAAGTGCCCTTTAAGGCCTGTTGGTTTGCATGACGAATGCCTGGAAAGTGACCCGCGGGAAACGGGCACGTAACCGTTTGAAACTGTGGCCAAGTCTCGGCAACGAAAAAGTCGAAGCGACGGGAAATATGCACAGCTTGGCAAGAAATTGAATGGTAACTTGGGTGTTGGCCAGTTTGTAGTGCTATGTGGCACATACCACTTGTAAACGAGTTCTGAAAATAAAATTGGCCGTTTTTGACGGCTTTTATGTTTTGAGTCACCTATCGGCATCCAGTGCAGGTGGAGGCGTGACGTTGAAAACGTGACTGACTTCGAAAAAAGTTCCAAATTATAGTTTAAAAAATGTACCGCCTGCAAGTTCACCGGGCATGAGAAGTTTCTGCGGCACACGGCTGCGCCGCCAATTATCGGGAGATTGCACGTTGTTAGGACTTGGAAAAATACCGTCGAATACGAGACGCTGCCGTCAAAACTGTGAACATTTTAGCATCACAAATTACACCAGCGCGTTCGGTACTTCATTTTCTCCCTCTTTAAGCAACCCTTTTTATCATTTATGTCTGTTGGCAATATTTGGCTCGCATCTTAACTTAGGGCACTGGGATGCTTTCAGGCTTTTCACGCCGGCACGTACGGACCCGGTCTGATCTCCCGGCTGTCACCATATAGTTTCTTAGCAAAGTGGCTGACGGCGCGCCCGCGTCTGCGGTAGGCCGCCGGCGTCAAGCTCTTTGACAGCCGGCGGGCAAAGGTGGCGACTGATTATAAAACGCGGCCTCTCGGTCGCCACTCCGGGCCAATATATCAGCAACCAAGGGCCGGAGCGACTCGGGAGTGGCGCCCTTCGATAGAGAATGGTACAGATATTTGTGAGCTGTTAAGTGCGTTAGCGGGGAGCATTAGGCATATAGTTAAGACAGTAGTATTAGCATGCTGCCGAAATACCAACCTAACTGTATCTCTATTCTCCTGGTTTTTCCGAGGGATAAAGCTAATACTGGTGTCTTATCTGTACGGATATTCGCATGGTCGCAAGTATCCAGTTACAAGTCATGCGCCCAAGAACTGGCAAGGTCGATTTGGCTGTGTTCGTTTGTGTTACCACGTGTCGTGCCACGTCTCGGGACCCAGTGCAGGTACACATGCATCCAGTTTGAATGCGTCCGCCAGGCACTGTTCAATTTAATATACTTTGCTAAAATTGTAAGTCCAAATTAAAACTGGATAGGTAGTAAAAACACCCTTGCTGCGCGATGTAGATCGATTTCTGTCTGGACGCGTCAAAGCACACCACGCATTTCAACCTGCGCTTAGACAACATCGCGATCATACTCCCACGCCTGCTGGCATGACCGACTGACAAGCATGCATATGGAGCAACATGGGTTCGACGGCTGAATATCTGTTGAATGAAGCGGAGTCACTTCGACATGAACCAGAGATCTGACGCCATCGCTACATCGCGATAGAATGACTGCAATTGACTTGGTCACCGCTGGTCAGGTACTTACTCATTTCTTTAGTCAGACCGGTCGTCAACCAAAGGCCGACGGGCCAAAGTTGTCTTTGAACTCGTTTAATGAGTGGTTTGCCTGTCCGTCTGCCGGTCCCATTTTGCGTAACGCCGTCCACGGGCCGAGCGGCGGGTGGCTGAACGGTGAAATTTGGATACGACGTGCGGTTGCACGAGGCGGCTTTCCATAGGTAGATCGCGAGCTGCTGGGGTCCAGGGTTCGTGCGTAGCACGTTACGTAATGACCGTTTGGGGCCCATTGATTTTACACAGGCGGCCTGAAAATGTGACGTGCGTCCAAGCCGACGAGCAGCCGTTTGAAACTGTGGCCGCATCTCGGCAACCATGGGTCGGAGCGACAATAGTCCAAAACACTTAGGTAGATAATTGAACTGAGAGTCGCGTTGTGCCAGATGTGCAATCGCGCGTGTCACAAATATCATGCACAGAAGTGGCTGAGATGAATTTGGCCGTTTTTCTATGTTTTTCACGTTTTGAGTGCATGAGGGCGCGAACACAATTTCAAAGTGTTGACCGACGCACCTCCTTCAATTCAAGTGAACAGCACGAGTTTATGCGACACACGGATGCGCCTGTATTCTTTGAGGAAGTCAGTGATGTCGGAACTTTTTTAAAAATTGTTCCGAATACAGCACGCTGTCTCTGAGAACGTAGCCTCATTCGTCGCTAAATATACATCACTGCATTCATCAACTCATTCTTTACATTCAGCACATATTTAATCACCATTCTGCGGACTGTCCCGTCCATACATCAGCTTGACCTGCAAGGACGCAACTACACATATCCGCAAGGCAAAATGCCACCAGTTGATCTCCTAGTCGCCGGTGATCAGTGTTTTAAGTAAAACGGCTAAACGCGCACAACAAAGGTGAGCCATAAGGACGATTAAAGACATCGCGCGACCTCCTTGCCTTGTGGAGTGTCAAAGACACCACACACATCTGGTGAACACAATTTTAAACAGGTACGAAGAGGGGAACCATAAAATGCAGTGCGTTTTCAGCGCAACCCCTGCTACGCCAAAACAGGAATCCCATCGGATTTGTGGAATGTGTTTTGGTGCACTAAGGAATCTGACAACGCAGAAGCTTGCTGCGGCATTGGCAAGTGGAAGTGGTGACATTAAGGAGATCTGACATTTGCAGTGTTAGCGAGTGCAGCTTTCCTGAACTTTTGAAATCCGTAACAGCACTCCAGCTGCAGTGGAAATCTGGAGAGCAAGAGTTGGACGTCCCTGGTGGGCGGCACATTGCATCCAGTTCCCGTCAGACTTCCCGACAGTCGGAGTTGGGTCAGCCACGGAAACCCGTGAATGTATTGACGTGTGATGCATTTGATGCGTAGTACATTAAATGCATCACGAAACAATGCAAACACAAATCGTCTGCAGACCCTCGTGATGCATTTAATGCGTGATGCGTGAAATGCGTCACGAAATAATGCCAACACGTATCGTTCATAGACCCTCCGTCAGTTAGCTAAGCAAACCCACCAGCACCTACGTCTTACTAACCACACCGCGTCAACCCCACCACTTCCGACGTGCGGCTATCCCCGGAAACCGAACCTAATCTCCATGTGCACTTTCGCAGGTGGAGAACGAGTACGGCAGCTACAAGGCGTGCGACTTCGTGTATCTGCAGCATCTGCACGAGCTGTTGCGCGACCACCTGGGCAACAGCACCGTGCTCTTCACTACGGACGGGAACAGCCAGGCCAACCTGCACTGCGGCAAGATCCCGGGCGTGTACGCCACCGTCGACTTCGGTCCGGGCACCAACGTGACGGCGGCGTTCGCGACGCAGCGGCTGTTTGAGCCGCGCGGCCCGCTCGTCAACTCCGAGTACTACCCCGGCTGGCTCGACCACTGGGGGTACCCACACTCCACGCGCGCCACCGACGCCGTCGTGCATACACTCACCGAGATGCTCGAGGCGGGCGCAAACGTGAACGTGTACGTTGCGCACGGCGGCACGTCCTTCGGTTTCAGCGCCGGGGCCGATTTGCCCGAGAACTACCGCCCGTGCCCCACCTCCTACGACTACGACGCGCCGATCGCCGAGAACGGCTACCTCACCGACAAGTTCTTCGCCATGCGCAACGCGTCGCTGCCATTCGTGGCGGGCGCGGCGCCGCCGCCGCCGCCGCCGCAGCCAACAGTGCGCGCCTACGGTGCGGTGCCGCTCACCGCGTCGGCCGGGCTGCTGGCGACAGCACTCCGCACCGGCCCCGCACCCGTCCCCTCTGACGACGCGCTCACCTTTGAGCAGCTGCGCCAGGCGTACGGCTTCGTGCTGTACTCGCACACGGTGGCGGGCGTGCACTCGGACCCGGTGCTGCTCAACGTGACGGGCTTGCGCGATCGCGGCTATGTGTTTGTGAACGGGCGGCCGGCAGGCACGCTCAGCCGCTCCGAGGACATCTACCAGATGCCCGTCACCGTCGCCAACGGCAGCCGACTGCAACTGCTGGTCGAGAACCAGGGCCGCATCTGCTTCGGCAACTTCATGAATGACATCAAGGGCATTGTGTCGCCCGCGTTTCTGGGCTCGGAGCGGATCATGGGCTGGGAGCACACGTCCATGCCACTGAACAACACCCAGCTGCCGAAGATCGAGCGCCTGCTTGAGCAGAAACCTCTCGGACATCCGCACGTAGCGCCGGCCTTCTTCACCGGCACTTTTGACCTCCCCTCCGACGTGGACGTCGACTCGCCCACTGACACATTCCTGCGGCTGGACGGCTGGCACCGTGGAGTAGCCTTCGTCAACGGGTTTAACCTGGGCCGCTACTGGCCGGTGCAGGGTCCGCAGGTGACGCTGTACGTGCCTGGTGTGCTTCTGAAGGCGTCCAACCGGCTGACGCTGCTAGAGCTGGAGTCGGCGCCGTGCGACACCGCGGCGTCCTGCCAGGTGACCTTGACCGATACAGCCGAGGTGAATGGACCCACTCCGCACTAGGTTCATACCTCGATATCGATTCTGATCAATTAATCATTACCCCAGCCAACCGTCAACTGTCGCTTTGATGTGCATGTTTCATGATGCAAACTACAAAGATGTTTGTAATCAAGTATAGCTCGAAGGCTTATTTTCCTGAGCAAGTTATTCAACAGCAGTTCACTGTGCATTTCCAAGCCAATAAGCGAAGCGATCGCACGGCCCCGATCATGAATCTAGGTCCTCCGAAGACTGGCGCGCTTACCCAATCTAGGTCCTCCGAAGACTGGCGCGCTTACCCAATCAGGAACCATGACAAGCTTGCATGGTTGAACGCAGATGGGCTGTTGAATGGGTCATACGAAACGGAGCACGTTTTTCAGTTCTCGGGTTATTTTAGAACACGTCAATGATCATTTTCATGCTGATAAGCACTAAGTAATTTCAGGGGCACAATGGTGTATGCACGGCGCCGAAGGCAATGGCATCGTGTGCCAACCTGCCATCTTTTTAGCTGAAACTTGATTGCAACAGCTGCATCGGCATCAAGTTGGTATTATCAGCGTCTTATAGACAGTGTCTCATTCGTTTCATTGCTTGCTTAGATGTAAATATGTCAAGCGACGACAGGGTCCCTACTGGAAATCAACGACACCGAAGACGATGACAGGGTGGTTGTACTTCCGGCAGCCATGGTATCGGCCTACAAGAAAGGACATCTGAATCGACTGCGACGTAAATATCACGTATTGAATGCGGTTGAAAATATTGCTCATTAAAAACAAACAATGAATACAGCTGAAAACATGCCAGTTCTCATTTCCTGCCTACAAGGTGCAACTTCAGAGGCCCGGTCAGGGTGCTGCTGTTGTTGTATAATTGTGACGTCAGCAAACCTCCTGGTCTTTACACGTTTAATATACTGATCGTTCAAAGCAGTTTTTTTAACCGTTCAATTAGCTGATAAACCAGGTTTTTTATTCGATGACAACAAACTTGTAGAGGCGAGTGTACGTGGTGGACATGACGTCAGGTCGTGTAAGGGAGCTGCACGTGTCGCGTTACAGCGACTGGGTGCGGCCGGGTACCGGACTGGGAAGATAGCAGACGCGAGGGTCCAAAGGAGTGTGGGACGGTGGAGTTGGTGCGACGGTGGTGAGAGGCGCGATTCCTGCCGCGCGCTCGACGCTGGACGGCGTGACCTCTGAGTGTCTGGTTGACTCAGACTGCACCAAAAGCATCGCTCACGCCTCTGAATGCCGCCATTGGAGCCAGCAGCCCACCAATGTGACAACTCGAAATGGACAATGATGGCTCTGTGGGGGTGTTGACAAGGTGAGCGAGCAGGTGATAACAGCAACTATGGCGGAGGTTGAGGTACTGGTGACCTTGGACAGACCTCTCGACTTTTTCCTTTTAAGGGTATGAGCGGGGCACGTGCCGTGCAGGGAGTGACCGTGAATGCGAACGATGGCGTGTGTTTTGTTGTGGATATGGCAGCCCGTTAGCGCTCGTAAGTTCGTAAGTGACGTCAGTACTGCAGCTCGTGAAACGGTGGCGGTTGTATATCACGTCGACACTGCAGCTCGTGAGACGGTGGTGGTCGTATATCACGTCAACACTGCAGCTCGTGAGACGGTGGTGGTTACGAGTGACGTCAGCACTGCAGCTCGTGAGACGGTGGTGGTTGCGAGTGACGTCAGCACTGCAGTCCGTGAGACGGTGGCGGTTGTATGTCACGTCATCACTGCAACCCGTGAGACGGTGGCGGTTGTATGTCACGTCAACGCTGCAACTCGTGAGACGGTGGCGGTTGCATATCACGTCAACACTGCAACTCGTGAGACGGTGGCGGTTGTATGTCACGTCAGCACTGCAGCTCGTGAGACGGTGGCGGTTGTATGGACGCCACCGCTGGCGCCGACTCGACCAGCGGACCAGACGGAACAGTTCGCCTACTGGCGCCGCGGCGGGCCCGAGATCCCGGACCGGAGTCGTCCAGTCGGCGCGGGCCGTGCCGGCCCCAGCGGCAGCAGTCGTCCAGTAACTCCGCCAGCGGCGCAGCATAACAGCAGCGTGGTCAAGTCGCACCGTGGCACCGGTCCGCGTAGGCCCCGAGCGGGCCGACTCCAGCGGCAGTACCAAACAGCGCCACAGTCATCGAGGAGAATAGCTTTGTGTTGAGTCGTGATGCCGTGTAGAAAATTGGAGCTGGAGGATTGCTCCGCAGGAGTGATACTGGAGTGAGGAATGATACCGCTGGACGTTCGCCCTGAGTGTAAACACGAATTGTTCCAGCCGGTGTCGATTAACTGGCTGGTGTCGCATGATGAGGAGGACGGGCCCGCGGAAGGAACCGTTCCGTTGATGGCTGTGTTTTAACGGAATAACGGTGCAAAATTCGACCTTCCTGTTTTTTTTTCAAAATTCGACTCTCGCGAATTCAAAAAGTTTCTGAGCCCTCACAGCTGACGCAGACGTTTGTGGTGAGAAGGTCCGTGAGTGGTTCCGCCGTGGACGGAAAGTGGCACTGATTAACCTGAGAAAGGCCTTCTTACGAATCCACGTTTATCGTTTTCTGTGCGTCTTCCAAACCATCATGTTTCACGTCAAATGTTTTGTCCCACTTGAATGGATTTTGGCTTTAGAAAAGCGCCTCCGGCGATGAAAAACAGTCTTATGACAGTGCTGACTTGGGATGAGCAGTTGGCCGTGCAACGCCATCCTACCTGGACGACACCTGGGTGGACGAGAGCGTGGCAGCCGCCGAGGACGTAGAGATCCGCCTGAGCCGACACGACCTGGAGTGTAAACTGCTGAGCATGTGCCACGTGGCGCCCGCGTGCTGTACATACGGGTCTGGGAGGGGCGGGGGAGCAGAGCGCTCTCCTCTTGATAAGGGACAATGACCCCATTGAGGTATCAGAGCGGTCGACTGAACAAACAGTTTTCTTGCTGTGTGGGCACCTCACTGGCCACCTGCCGGTATGCGGATGGCTTCGAGTCGCTGCTTCCTACCTGAAGCGACTGGTCACTGCCGCAACCCACAGTCAGGATGATAACGTCAATGACCCGGAACGGTGGGTTATGGCCGCAGGCATGCCACGGCGTGTCAAAGTCGGGTAGCCAGCCAAGTGTCACCGTGACGTGACGGAAGACAAGACGGTGGTACGGGTCGAAGTGGTGGCCTGGGGATGAAAAAGACATTCTGAAAGGCGACTTCCGCACTGTCTGCCACTGGCTGGAGGACATCTGGAGCCGACAGTCTGGACACCTGGAGGCCTGTGTCGAAGACGGCACCCAGCGGTAATGCGGCAACAAGTGCAAAGTGCAGTGCCAGAGTGCCGAACTTGTCAGTCAATCGACCCAGCCCCTGTGCGATGAGATGACGGTTCATTAAGTGCTCTTGAGGACTGGAATGGGGTCGGTATGGACGTTTGTCATCAGGAGATGAGCAATGCCTGACGACAGCTGATTGTGGCCCGTCCCGGGACACGATCAGGAGATGCTTCAGGTGCCAGGATTCAGCTAGTGTTAGCAGTGAGCTGGAGCCGGTGTTACGTATAGCGTGGCACGCCCAGAGACCTCCTGACTGGCAACGCCACTGACTCCCGTAGTTCTGCGTCACGTGAATTTGAAAGTGGGTGGGTTATGGGCATCAGATGTCGCACTGCCCGTATGTGCCGTTGGGCAATGACATTTCAGCGAAATGTCATCAATCTTTTAAAGGGAGTGTTTCACATTTGTATGACGTTCTCTACTGAAATAGCGATCCTGAAGATTATTCGACGCAGTTAACAACCCGGCTCTTGTTGAGACCTAAACGCCTCTAGTCTCTGTGCTACACGTCGGCAACAATGTGCAGACGTTTTCTGGGAGGCTATTTAAAGGTCACCCAAGCATTCTTAGCGACGTAATAACATCATTCAAATCCTGTCATGTCATTAGCCATGCGGCGATCAAGGCCAATAAATATATAATTGTCGATTCGTTTATACCAGGCGTTCGTGACCACGATATCCAGATATCACAGCCGTCAGTTGGCTCTCGATCAATTTCGTGCGTTGTACGATGACGTCATCAAAAAATTTATATTTCGGAACGTATTTACTAAACGGCAAAATGTGTGGTCTACAGCAACAATCGCTGTCTAATACCGTTGTCTAGTTGATAAGGCCACCCGGACACGGCCAGCGCCTCAGGCCTTGTGCAAATGCTCGTGGATTGGGCTTAACGTCAGGGATTCTGGGAACCTCGGACTTGGACTTTCCACACAACAGGAATGCAGGTTAAGTTCGAAGTGTAACATACCTTGCCACATTCACCCAGTCGGAAATTGACTCGCACTCTGCATCCCGTCCACCAATAGACGGCAGCACAGTACAGCTCGATAGGTGGCAGCACGCCGCAACATAGCGTTTTAGGTCAAAATGTCGTACGAAGAAAGGGTGTTTGCGTAAATATGCACGTAATTGTTCGTGACCAAATGCAAATGTTCGCAAGGCATAGAGCTGGCATGGAAAAAGCACGTACGCAAACACTTGTACGCCAAAGCTTGTGAGGAAATGTTATGACAAGGTGCGACTTCCATCGCCTGAGATTCCCCACTGCCTCTTTTTAAAGCATTCCACGCCTGTTTACAGTGGCAAAGGTCCGTAACGGGCACAGATGGTTTGACAAAATCATATACGCCAAAGTTCGTGAGCAGCATACGCGTGTAAACGGGGGTCCGTCAGTGAACTTTTGCTAAAATTTGATTTCTGGGGATGGTGCAAGGTATTAGTTGTGCGATTAGTTTAGTGTGAGTGCCAATGTCTAGCTCTACTCGGCACACTATTAAACCTGCGCCCGGCCAAAGGGCGGGGGGGGGGGCATGTTGACTACCCGCTCACGATATTTCGACTACAGGTTAAAAATGAACGTTTGCAGTAGCACAAAATTGCAATGCCTGTTCAAATAGGTATCATTAGTGCTCCGCACTCATGGGACGTTGGGCGGAGTCGTCGACAAGGACGTTGCTGTTCACCGCCATCCTCTTCACTGGATGTTGGGGTTCCCGAGGAGACGGCTCATCTGAGACCCGGCACCACAAAATGAAGATCTTCATTTCGATGTGCATTAGGCCTCTGCATGCGTAATTTTGCCGGAATGGAAAAATAAACAAAAGGAAATTCATGGATGATAACCGGGTGGCTAATTATTCATGGGATAAGTGTGTCTCGGTCAAACACGGCCCTTCCTGGATTGTTATGGCTATGAGGGGGTCGTACCAATGCGTCGAATTTATCCATATCTATTTCCAAGCTATTTGCTATTTGCCAAAGTAAACGCCCTCCTCGAAGCCTATGCCACATTTTACTGCTCTTCAAAGAGTGCTTTACCAAACATGCGCATTTAAGTTATTTTTGCATTGTCTAGGTGTTAACCTTGAAGGAATTTCAATTTATTTCAAGGTTACTTTTAAGGTAGATTACATTACTGGCCACCGCCAATGCAGCGTGGAAACGTGGTGCGTGCTGTGCAGTGCGACTTTTTGTGCGTCATTTTGTCATCTGTCCTTTATTGCTTCTGAGGGAGCTCCTGGCCCTTGCGAGGAGAATGAAGGGGCCTGAAATTCTGTGATGCTTCGTTTTCTTTCAAGAGGAACTCGGAAGCTGTTGGAAAGGCTGCAAAATGTGGCAAAAGCATTTTACAGCAGAACAAAGCATTATACAGTTCTAGAACCACCTCCATTCTTCTCCCAAGGGCCGATAGACCCCTATGAAGCAATGCACGGAAAATTTAGGAATATTGCAAAAACTGCACTCGAACAACTGCGTCTCACAGCGTGTAACCCGCAGCAATACCACCGGAATTGCAACGTTCAACGGGGTGCTCCCTGTGCAATGCAGGTTTTGTGTGCGCGATTTTGCAATTGTATGTTAATTGCTACCAAATGGCTCTTGGTCCTTGCAAGAAGAATGGAGCTAGTCTTGAAGTTCCATTATTTTTCGTTTTACTGTAATCTACTTATGTCACATTCTGCAACTTTTGCAGCAATTTCGCTCGAGTCAAATAGCAAATTTGCGTATAACCCGAGCTGCTGATCGAGCTGCTGTAAAACGGTCATGCAGAAGACCCGTTCGAGAACGAAGCGCGCGCAACCGTAAAACAGCCGGCCTCGGACGAAGTGACGGGTGGGGCGAGCTTACATGTAGAGGATGCCGTCACCAGTCTCCGCAGAAGTGATTATGTATCCCACGTCGTGATATGGGTGGCTTCATTTTCCGTCTTGAACCAGATTTACAACGGACCAGTTGTAGCACTTTGCCATCACCCTGTAAAGGTATGGACTGAGCGTAGATGGAAGAGGAGTTGGGGGGGGGGGGGGGGGAGGAGTCACGCTCACTGAAAAACGACCCAAATTCCGAGAAAGCTCCTTGGCTTGGCCGGTGGCGACTGATTGGTGACTAACCATAACGCATGGACCGTCTTTTATGTGTTTGGCTTTTCTGGAAAGAAGCTGTGGTGCTTTGTGGCGTTGCAGCAAAGGATGCCCTGCCTAGATTGAAAGTCTGACAATAGCTGATATTAGATACTGCATGATGTTTGTATTTTCCTTTAGATGTATGCCGAGGAGTTCCGAAGAGGCTGGTCGTCTGCAGCGCTTTGCCGCTTGGCTAAGCCGTTCCAGGCAACCGTTCCGTTCCTGGTAACCGAACCGTTCCAGATAAACTCGTGCACACTTTGAAACGATGCGGTGACCGTGTTGCTATTCCCAAAAACAAGCGCGGAATTCCTTTAGGCGGAAGCCACGGGCAGGATTGCCATCGATGAACAAACGGCACAAGTACAATAATGATATGAAAAATTCAGTGCAGGCTGCAAAAACATCCTTTGCTTTGGAGAGACTGGAGAGACTAGTACCAGGCAGCCCCTTTTATCGGCTCTGCATGCACAGTATATCCACTACATTCCGGCGGGAAGCCGCAGTCAAATGCTAGCAAGCTTTGCCAATGCTCGTAATGTCTACCAGCTTGTGTTTGGTCGCTTCACGCATAGCCTGTTTATTCGACAACCTAACAGTCGGTATTCATGCTCCGAAGACACTATGCGAAAGGTCACCAAGTGTGTTAACAACCCTTTGACTTGTATATTTTGCTTACAGTACAAATAGGTAGCTTGGTAAAAATACCTGCGGGTGTCTTTTTGAAGAAAAAAACTGCTAAAGCTAAACACGCTCTCTTTAAGTTAAAGAGAACGAACACTTCCAGTACGTCAGCTGCATGAGTGAGGCTGGCAGCGTCGGAATCCGCTCGTTTGTTCTGATGCGGTTTTGTCGGAGAAAGCTCTGGACGGCCTTGTGTTGTTTGCGGTGGGAGCTTGTTCGCCGCGGTGGCCCTGGTAGGGGCTCGTGTGATCTTTATCGATTTCTAGTTATAATTCGACGACGGCAAGGCAGCTTGCTCTTCTACGTTTCTAGATCATGGTTTTCTGTGAGTGTTGAAGAGAGATTTTGCAGAGTGAAGCATCTTCGCTTTTGAAGCGCTTTTGACCAACCACGGACCGCCTGCGCAAGTGCTCTTCGGTCACCCAGACTGACCTTGCATGCGCGCTGCAGTGGCAGCGTGCTGCGGACATCTGCGACGATTCGAGTCGAAGCGCGTGCCAGCTCGGCAGCGTCATGGCCAGCAGCGTCACGGCACCCACTGTCGCGGCTGTCGACGGACACATGGGTCGACAACCAGGACCGCGACAAAGAACACAGGAATCGCACCGGCGTCGGGGCCTTGAGCCGCTTCCGCCGGTCCCACTCCGCTAAAATGTCGCGTTGCGCCTCTGCTAGAAAAAGCGACTGCTCCCGCGCCCACACTACCCGATGGCACCTGAGACGGTACCGCCGACAAAACATTTTTGACGTTGGCCTCTATGGGCTAGTTGGCCTCTATGGGCTAGTTGTGAAGTGTGCACCGCTGCTGCCATATGGCTATGCTAATGCCCGGTTCACACTATGACCAGCCCACCGGACCACGCTACTACCGGACCGCCCCATTGACCTGAACAGACCTTTCGAGCATAAGTCTGTTTTTCATCTGCTTGGTGAAAATGACGGCCGGCCTTTCCAGCGCCAGTGTGAACCGGGGAGGGGAAGGGGGGAGAGAGCAGCGGCAGCCGGCGGCGGCCTCCGTGGGGGAGAGGGGGTGCAGGCCGCCCGGCGCGGCGACCGGGGAGAAGTTTGACCGGTCCGGCGGGTGGATAAACGGCGCAGCGCAATTTTCACAGTGTGGTGAGTGCAGCCGTGGCGCACAAACATCTGCTGATCGCTGTAAGCAAAACAACAAAATCGTGCACAACGGTGAGTGTGGCTGTGTGAGGGATACCTTTCCGAGACATCAAGGTGTAGTGTTCAAATAATTTGCTTGCATTTCTACGAAAATCTGTGAAACATTTTCAAATGCTTGAGAGAGATCTCACAATTCACCAGCAACCTAACATTCTCAAAACTTTTATGTTAGTTTGAATTTCTTGTTGCATTTCAAACAGTGGGCCGACATTGTTCACTCCACGCTCAAAAGTAGCACCAAATCTGAGACCTGTATCAATCTTTAGCCATCAGCTGGTCACAGAATCTGTTTGCCGCCTGACTGCCTGGACCGGGTCGGCTAGCCGCCTGACTGCCTGGGTCGGGTCGGCTAGCCGCCTGGCCGCTCGGACCGGCTCGGCTGGCGTGCGAACTTGACACTGAATAGTCACAGCCAGTCTGGATGAAGCAGAGTGCATCATGTTCTTGCAGAGTCCCGCAATGTAACAGCATACTCAAGCGACTGGCCCCATTAATAATTTTGTTTTCGCTGTTTATCTAAAGTGCTGTAAGTCACGGTAATCTTTGACCAACCAAACAAAGTTATTTTGCGCACGAAACAAGGAAGTAGCGCCTTCAGCTACTGCTTTTTGGCGACATTATTTTGTTCTTTCACTTCAGAGCACTTATGTCGCGCTATAGACTTTCACTTTATCAGATGGTACGTACCGTTTAAACGACGTTCTAGAGCAAACATTTGTTATGTTATCAATACTAGACGCTTCGAGCTGTCAAGAACAAAGCATAGGTTCATTGGCCTCTAAATGCATTGGAGAGGGAAGGATTTGGTATATATATATATATATATATATATATATATATATATATATATATATATATATAAAGATAACTTGCGCTGGAATCTGGTGGTGGAATTTGACAAGTAACGACGATATTTATATTTTCACACCACCGTCGCTAGTTATCTGTGTAGAGGACAGACACGAAATTCTATACGTGAGATATGTGTCCTAGTCTAATCTTTGAACGATACGAGTTCATCTCTAAAGGGAAGGTTGTAAAGTTGAAAACATGCAAGCAAGCATCAGGAATGATCAAACTAGATCACTTATAACTGTTGGTCTCGTTTTGGGCAGAAAATACCGCTCTAAACAACACAATTTCGCTATTGAGCAAATATGCTCCTCGATGCGTCATTTCTTTAAAGCGCTATCGTACTTTGCACACCGTTGATTGAGAGCCGATTGACGGGCGTTACCACTGGAAATTGTGCTCGTGAACGCCAAATATGGATGGCTCAACCATAATATTTGTATTGGCCTTGCTCACTGCATAGATTATGTAATGGCAGGGCTTCAGCTAGGTCATTATGATGCTATCAAGGTCAAGGTGCCCTTGAAATACCCTCCCACAATTACTCTCCCACATATTTGCAGCCTTCCAGCTTAGGAACCAGAGGGCCTGAGGTCTTTCAGAGGATACGGACGTGAGCTGAATCAAAAGGTCTTGAATATGGCCTTGTCAGTTTAAAACCCCATGCAAATGTGGAGCAATCCATTTAACAAGCGCCTTGTGGCTGGTCCAATATCCTTCCCTGGGATGGAAGTCAACTTTACCCCATGACATCTGAAAGCTTAGATAGCTAGAGATACCAAACTTATATGGTAAATTCGCCTGTATGTGAACTCCGCTGTGCCGAATTTTGAGGCTTCTAGGTTATGACTTTGGGGTAATTTGAGATTGAATAAGGTCTAACTCCAGAAGTGTCCAAAGTGACCCTGACGTCGTCATACAACCGCATGAACCTAGATCCCTGTCTTGAGCAAAAGTTCAACGGCGCTCTTTTAAGATCAGTGACCTAGTTTTGACCTATAGAAGGTCAAGATGACCACAAATCTATGAGATTGCTTCTCTTTTTTTGACATCCAGGTAAGCGTTAGGAATTACGTTTTGTGCTATGTTCCTGAGAGCAAAACGCTTACCTGGATCATTCTAGGTCAATACCGCACTCTGGCCTTTACAAAGTTGGGGGGAACATGTCTGTTGCAATTCCTGTCATCAAAAACAATACCGGGAACTACCCCTTAACCCAAACTGCCAAGTAAAAAAGAACATTATGTTTTACCACGGTGTGACCCTCAGACCCTACGTCGATGGAGTCTGTTATAATTTTTAATTCAATCGATGCATTAAATATAAAAACATTTTAGAAATGTATGTCTCCGTCCAATACTTCGTTGTCGCATCAGATTGAACGATTCCCCAGAAATGGCCTTCGCTGATTGCTATGGACCGGCTTTGAACTACCATAGATCAACGACCAAGCACGATACAGTCATTTGTATACCACAATATTCACTACTTAATTTACAGCTATGCAAAGCTTTGCGCGGCCACTTCGCACCATTCGGAAAGCTTTTTTTTTAAACCGTCGGGGAGGGGGTTAAATTGAACCCCACCCGAGCGCGCGTTAAGGACTTCCCAAAACATAATTTCAGGATGGCTATTCTCGCGCGCCAGGCGCGCGCAGCACGGTGTCGGATGCAGCGCCCCAGGCCGTTTGGTTTGAAGGAAACTGCAGCCTTGGCCGTCGGTGTTTTTGTTCCGAAGATTGCGAGCGCGCAAGATGCAAACTCTACGTAATTTGATAAGACAGTAGTATTAATTCCTCGGGGAAAACCAGGAGAATGGTGATATGGTTGGGTTGATATTGCGGCAGCATGCCTTTATCGAAGCAATTCTTCTTCTGCAGGAAACTATTACAAAGGCTTTTGAAAATGGGGAATATGTGTTAGGTTTGTATTTAGATCTGAAAAAAGCCTTTGACACTGTAAACATTAGCCTTCTTCTACGTAAACTTACTAAATATGGTATTCGACGAAAATCTCATGAAATCATTTCTTCATATTTGTCTGGCAGAACTCAATGTGTAAAAATCAGGAATGATCTATCAACAATCAAAAACGTAACAATGGGGGTACCCCAAGGATCCATTCTCGGCCCAATCCTCTTTTTAATGTACATAAATGACCTACCTAAACTAAGCAGTAACATGATTTGTCTGTCTTATGCTGATGATACTGCGATTGTTTTCAAAAATAAAAGTATTGTCGAACTTCAAAACAATGTCAGTACGCTTTTGCTTCTAATGACTTCCTGGTTTGCTGCTAATTTTCTCTCCCTGAACGTATCAAAAACATTCACACAGCATTACACAACCCTTTCTTCGCATTTCCGACTAAATGTGCAAATTAATAATTCACCTATTGAAGAGAAAAAAGAAATTAAATACCTTGGTGTAATCATTGACAAATCTCTTAAGTTTACAAGCCACACTAATTTTGTTGCAAGCATAGTAAGTAGAAATATTGGAATAATAAGTAGGGTTAGGTACTTTATTGATAAAACAACGTCACATCTACTCTATAATACTTTGATTCTTCCTTATCTAAATTACTGCTGCTTGGTTTGGGGCATAAATTATGCTTCCCAACTAGATCGATTGGTAATTTTGCAAAGAAGGGCTGTGCGTCTTATAGAAAACGTGCATCCTCCGCAAAGCTCAGAGCCAATCTTTAACCGATACAAAATTGTGAAACTATCGGATATTGCTAATTCTCAAATGTTAATTGTGATGCCCAAATTTTTGACTTCACAGCTCCCCGCATCATTCGACTTAATTTACAATCTCTACGAATCCAATGACATGGATATGAGGCGAGCAAAACATTTAGAACAACCTTTCTCTTATCGTAATTATAGACTATTTACAGCATCCTGCCTTGGCCCTAAGCTGTGGAACGACATTATGGTTCCATATTTTCCAAGAATAGCTGATATCCCTGTATCGAAAACCATCGTTAAGAACATCATCCGCAAGCATTTCGTGAACACATATTAACGTAACAAACATATTTGAAGACATTGCCATCCTTGTGCTGTACATCTCCAACGCACTTCATATTTGACCTCCTTCATGTTTCATAATTAATTTCTGATATAAAGTCATGCACATATACCCAAATTAATGGCGCTGGCTCCGGGAGTTCTCCCAGCAACAAGCTCTGCTTAGCTGGGTGGACTCCCTGGAAATCCAACCCAAAACCCAGCACAAAAATGACCAGGTAATTGCCCCCTCCGACTTGTGACTGTATAACCCTTACTAACACCGGGAATTTAGTGGTTGTAGATTATTGGGCGGTTGTAGCGGGCTGTCATTAGCTGATTTGGGCTAATGACTACTTTAAGCCTTTTCATCTAGGATTTTTCCCTCCCTCTCACATAACACAATTCCCTCGGGTCTGCTCCACCTCCTCGCCTGTTTTTTTTTAAGTTTGTTTCATCTTCCTAGCTGGGAGTGCCGCGACTTGATTTTATGTTTTCTGGTGTTAACGTACGGTTTGCTGCGTCGCTGGGATTGAGGGAGGGGCACTCCTGGTTACCTGTTCTTGGGTAACGGCGTAGAAAAAAAGCAATAGCAGAAGTGGATTTAAAATCGCCTGCCGATGATCCTATTCGATTTTTCAGTTCTTGTTTTGAAACAGCAAGCCACAGTTTTAGCAGGACATCAAGATTCAGGGGATTAAACAAAGAGTGGTTGTCAGCCATTACCACGATACGGTGCCTATCTAAGAATTAGAATGCGCGGGCATACGTGCCCATGCAAACGAATTCGGATCACACCTCACGCTTCATTGAAACATGCAAGCAAGTTGAATTAAACAGGCATCACACATCGCCCATCAATTATACATGCAAACCATTTTAAATGAACAGGCATCGCACATAACGCGTCAGGCATCGCTTACACATATACACGATTTTGAGCCAGCACATATCACACATAAAGGCACATATCACGTTCGCATAATCGGCAATGATGAGCCTGGATGTTAAGATTTTATCACCAACTTTTTATAAGAACAGATCCACTTATTCCTGTCTGGGCTGTCCTGTGGTGTGTAGATAACTTTGAGCTCTCAAAGGGGCATAGGGTCCATACTGTTCTCTGTTTCAGCCTGAGCGTGTTTTACTAAAAAATGATCACCAAAATAGATATTCCCTGTTTTGCTTGCTTTTAGTGTCTCGCAGGTGTTTATTATATCTCAAACGAGTAGGGTGCATAAGCCCCGGACATAGACTATATCTCTCCCATTTTCAGACAGTTTACACTTGATCTCGTAAACCATGTTGTTTGCGTGCAAACCCCTTGAAACCCAGAACTGCATAAATGACGTCTGTTGCCACCCGGGCACTTAGGCTTCGAAATGGAAGATTTCACCAGATACTTTTTGAGCTAATTGTCGTTTTCCATACTCTGCGTACGGGCAATTTCGATTTTTTGATTTTCCAAAGTAAATGCCCATTTATGTAAGGTAGTGTTAAGAATCTCTCTTCCGATAGGAAGTGTTTCCGCCTCCTACCATCCATATCCCACGCGCTCCACACTTTTTATTTCTTCTTCAAGTGCAAACTGCGTGAAAAAAATTATAGAGACATAGTCTTTGTTGGAGAGTGCATGCGCCCTTTTCGTTTGACATATATTAAACACCTGCGAAACGCTAAAAAAGAAGAGGGAGTACCCCTTTCGGTGACCATTTTTTTGGCAAAACACGCTCAGGCTGAAATCGATGAACAGATGGACACTATGCACCTTTTAGAGCTCAGTCATCTACAGAGCACAGGACTACCCAGACAGGAAAATAAGTGAATCTATTTTTATAAACAGTCGGCGACCAAATCTTAACACGCGCTCGGGAAGGTGGGGGGGGGGGGGGGCAAATTGCCCCCCCCCCCCCCACTCCTCGAATGTCTTTCCAGAATGGTTTCCGAACGGCGCGGCGTAGCCGCGCCACATTTTGCAAAGCTGCAGACAATTGAATAGCGGATTGTTTGACATAGCAAATTAAGATTTACGTTGTAAGTTCGCCGACTTATGATAGGTCAACGTCATGTCATGGTTTCAACGAAGGCAATTTCTAGGAAATCATCCAGTCTGATACAAAGCGGAGTGTTTTACGAAGCCATACATCTCTGAGATTCTTTCTTAGGCACCACAAATATCGAATGAGCAAATTGCACTGACCTAAGGCTAGATATGAGGGTCAAACCAAGGTCAAAACCAACTTGATTTATTACGCTAGGGCTTGCTGTATGAGATAGTTTGTGGTGCTCATTTCGAATTTATTGACAGCAGGAGCCGCTCTTAGAGGTCAGAATAGGTTACTGATCAAAGATGACCCGGGTCGACATTTTGTTTTAGAAACATACTGCCTAGCGCAATCTTTGTCGCTTATTCAAATGCAAAACTCAGAGCAGTCTTGTATGGCTTTGGTCACCATGACTTTCAAAAGGCCAAACAAGGTCACTGACCTCAAATGGGCTTGTGCTTAGAAACAGTTGCCTACGTTATGGGGGCACTTTAGATACCAGCCTGGAATGTGACATTGTTTGACCTTATTTGACCTGAAGGTCATGACCTTGGAAGCCCAAACTTTGACCTAAGTGAGTTCACGCACAGGCCAAGACACATTTTAGATTTGGTGTCATTTGTTTCTTAGTTCCCGAGATCTCAGGGGGATCAAATTGAACCCTCCGACGAAGGGTATCTAGCCGGCCGCCCGGCGCGTGTTAACATACAGGGCTCATCATAGCCGATTGTGCGAGCATGATATGTGCCTTCATGTGTGATGTGTGCTAGCGTAAAATCGTTTACGTGTGTGAGCGATGCCTGATGCGTGATGTGCGGTGCCTGTTTAATTGAAATCCCTCGCAGGTATGATTGGTTCGGGATGCGCGTTGCCTGTTTACTTAAATTCGCTTGCATGTTTGAATGAAGCGTGATGTGTGTGCCTATTCGTTTGCATGTACACGTATGCTCGCGAATTCTAATGCTTAGATAAGCGCTGTACTGTGGTAATAGTCTGGTCTAGAAATCCCAATTTCCCTGTCTCGTTAATATACCGCTCAATACGTCATCGCTTGAGTAGGTCACCGTGCCTTGCACAACGTTGATTGGGAGCCCATTGACGGTCGTTTATTTGAAAATCGCGCCCACTTTTGCCAGATATGAGCGCCTCGATAGTTATAATGTCATTGGCCTTGATCTCAGCATGGATTATGGAATTGCAGGATTTGAATGGCGTTATTATGCTGTCATGACTGACAAGGCGACTTTGAAATACGCTCCCCTATGAACCTTTCCCCATTTTTGCTGGCGTATAGTTTAGAAACTAGAGGGGCGTAAGTCTCAATGAGGGTGGGATTGTGAACAGCACCGAAATATCTCCGGCAGCGCTATTTCCGTTCAAAACCCCACATCAATGTGAAACACTCCCTTAAAGGCCTAAAACCCTTTAGTTTCCGGGCTACTCGTCCGCAAAATTGCGCAGACTAATTCGTGCAGACTATTCCAAGGATACTCAGACACACATGACGTCATAACAACATCAGCACAAGTTACGCACAATGCTCTTCTTTAACGCAAGATACCCATGCATAAATAAAACATTTTTGTAAAATTTTAGTGAAGCCGGAAAAGGTCTGTCCTTATAACAATAAAAACGTGCAGTTTCGTTCTAATGCTGTTTTTCCCACCAAAACGTAGCCGTTGTCATTTGCTTTTGATCATTCTGTATAATTTGATGCGAAGATATGATGTTATTGCAGGGAAAGCCCATTCAGCTATTGGAATTTTGGGAATGCACGCAGCTATGACTGTTGAAAACTGTTGAAAGTTTACTGTTGAAAATGATTTAACGATTTGAATGATTTAAATGATCAACACTGTTGAAAATGATTTAATGATTAATGCAAACAATGAAAACTTTTACTATATTCTAGGAAGAGCTGCTAAAAGATGTCTGGTACAATGGAGATGATGTAGCAACTAGCAAATACACTGGTTTTGTGGGTGAAAAGGTTAAAAACTGCTGTTCAGACCGCCTCCAACGTTGGAATCAACTAAGCTTATTGCACACATTACTTTTTGTTTTGATTTCAGAACGCACGTGTTTATCGTCATGCCAGCTTCCACGCATGCTTCCGGGCAGAGGGACCACCAGGACACATACAAATTACAGGATGAACATGTGCAAATTTCAGAAAAGAAAGACAGTAAAGCACTGGGGAAGAGACCCTCTGAAGCAGACAAGGCCCACCACTGGCCAATATTAAGTGCAAATGCAGCACATATTATTGCTGCCATACTTGTTGTCATCCTGGCAGTCATTGCTACCAATACTGGCACATTAAACTCTGATATGCTGAAGAAGCAGCTACAGATAGTTTGGGAGAAGTACATCCTGTTTTGGCGGAGTGCGCCGGCCGGCCACGGCCAGCCCCTCGGCCACCACCAGCCACCGCTGGCCGAACCCATCGACGTGCTGGAGGAGTTCCCGCATCCGGAGGAGTTTTATCGACGCTACTTGAAACCACGGCGTCCGGCCATCTTCCGCGGTCTGGCCCGGCTGCATCCAGCCTTCCAGCGCTGGACTGACGACTACCTGAGGTTAGTGACCCGCCCGCTCAGTGCGCGCAGCACCCGTGTGACGAGTCGTTCCCACGCACGCTAGCCAGCGCGGGTCGGCCAGCACACTCGATTTGGCGCGTGACTTAACAACAGCACTCCAAGTGTGAAACTGCACGAGGTTCGTGGTCAGTGCTGTGAAATAGTTGACACATCCTGTTTCCGCTATCAGGTGTTATTGGTGAGCAGGTGATCGCTTGAATATTAGTTCGATGGATCGTCTCCTGTGGTTTCGGTTAACGCTGACTTCCTTACCAGGAAAGAGTTCGGCAACAAGGCTGTTGAAGTCGAAGCCAAGAAAAAAGAAGAGAGAGGAAAAGGATTACTCGACATGAATTTTGCACAATTTCTGTCCATATACAGCAAAGAAGACTGCTACATGGTCGACAGTGTATCGGAAGAAATGCAAGGTAAGTTGCTTGGTTATCAGTAATCCCGTTATATAGTCTGCAGGAAGCATGATTAAGTCATTGTATGCATGTGTACCTGACGCGTTAATAGTACAGTGGTCATCAACGGATTTTTGTAGCACATCAGGCACTATAAAAAAAAATTAAGAACATCTTACGATCTTGCCATCAAAATATCATAATTGTGAAAATGACGGCAGACGTCGGCCAAATGTTGGTCTTTCGCACTGATGACACGATATCAGTAACGCAGGCAGGGTGGAGGCGCAGGGGCACGTGCCCTCCCCCTTAGATTCTGAGGCACCCAAAGGTCCTCTGGGGACCCACCATTAAGGGCCACATTTGAGCGCCCGAACGGTCCGAAAAGCCGACCGGAGGTCGTATTCAGGGTCCTGGCCCGAGGGGCCGGGTACTTCAATGTCGTTCAGAGGGCCCTGGGCCGCTGTGCCGCAGCGTGCTGCAGGGTAGCACGGCCACCCTAAGCCAATGGACAGCCGTCAGCGCACCGCTGATAGCGGGACAGCGTGCGCTGGGTAGGGCCGGGGGAGTCGGGTGTGCACGGCGGGCCGAGGTGGTGCCACGTAGTCTATCTGAGGTGGTGCGACGTAGTCTATCTGAGGTGGCTTGATGTAGTCTATCTGAGGTGGCCCGACGTAGTCTATCTAGTAATACAATATTTTGTTTGCTAGTCGTGGTGCCAAAATACCACGGGCTATGTCAAGCTGTTGTGTTTAGTTGTGGCACGCGCTGACGTGAGGCTGGAGGAGGCGCTACAGAGGCTCAGTGAGAAATCAGAATGTGATGCATATCTAACTCATATTGTACTAATACTGATGGTCAGAAAATGGTGAAGTTAATTTGTTGGACAAATTCTCTAGAGCATGCCCCATTTTAGCATGGACTTCTCTGACCTACCTTTCATCACATAAACAAACACTTGTGCTATTTGGAAGCCGCTTAATTGTATCAAATACAATGAGGCGGTAAGATTACTTTCGAGTTAACTTTGATTCAAATGAACGACATGGCCAGCGACAAAAACAGGATAAGATCACATTTATTGCCGGTATGCATTCCGACAAGAAATACCACAGGTGTGAGTTGCACCGTCCGATGTTTCTTACTGCCTCTTTGTTTTGTCCTCGATCCGTCGCGGGACGCCGAACTCTTACCAAGCTCCGCCCGGTGCGACTGCTCACACTTCGTTATGTGCATGCTGCTCTACATCGTTCGCTTGATCACTCGTCCGCCCGATAGGTCAGCTGGGTCAGTGAGGTACCCGCGCGTGGGTGAGGTCGATTGCTGTTTTTTGTTGCGTGTGTTCTGCTTTGTTTTTTTTTCTTGTCGTTGTGCTCCCTTTTCTTCATGTTCCTTTCCCTTTTTTCTCGCTCGTCTCGCTGTTACATAGGTTAGCGCGGTCTAGTTCCGCCCAGGGCATGCGCTGCACGGATTCTCTCAGCGAACGCGTATGTTGCCCGTCTTCTACCTTCCTCTCCGTTTCGCTAGGTCTGGATTGTTCTCTGACCGAGCGATGCACGGGTCCATGTTTGGTTGGCGAAGGCCCATGTTGTCCGAGAGGGATCCGATACGGGCGACGGAGGCTCGGTACGAGAGAGAACGGCGTCGAATTTTCCGAACCGGACAGGATCCCTGGATGTTGGCTAGAGGCCGAAGGGAGACCGCCTGCCAGGGTGCCGAGGCACAGCGGCGAGGTGCGCCGATCCCGCTACATGTCGAGGGATCGCCCGCAGTTCTGCGAGACCAGGGAAGCTTACTCTCGGAGCGTCGCCCGGGCCGGCGTTCGGAAGGAGACACGGACGCCACCTGTCAGCCGACATGGGTAATCGCGGCAGAGTGCAGCACCCGGCGGTGCGCGTCGGCGGCGCGGGCACCCGCGACCCGCCGGCAGATGGCAGTACCTTGCGGCGTGGATGGACGGAGCGGTCCAGTGCTCGCGGCCCAGTGCATGGAGTCTGCGTGGATTAGTTAAGGCCGGGGGGGGGGGGGGGGGGGTCCCAGGGCCATTACCCAGCGGGCTCTTGCCAATATACTTCGCCAATGCGTGGGACCCTTGCCAGTTGGGCGTACTAGTATGCATGCGGTTCCGTTTTTGCCCCATTTTAATATTATCGCAAGCTAAAGGGTGGAGGTGGGGTACCGTGGTTAAGGGCGCACGGCCATGGGCGGGGAGACAGCAGTTCGAAGTGCCTGACCGGACCCACCATCACGCCAATGCCCCGGTCACCCGCTTCATCCTAGCTCTGTGGCTCACATGAGTGTGCGTTGATGTCGGATGTACCGGAGCCACAACGTCCCGAGTCGTGCGCTAGCATCATCTGGCTCGTATGCTAGCCAATGGGCTCCCCGTCACAAATCCGCTCTTGTGGGGAGACGTAACAGCGGCAGCCGGCGACGCACAACATCCAGCCGCGGCCAGGCAGTCGCGCATGTCGCGCATCGCAGTAACCCCCCCCCCCCCCCCACAAAAGCAGACTGAAATGTTTTCACCGTTCAAATTGCTGGCTAGCATGTTTCTGCACGAAATATCGATCACGATGAAATTGAGCGCATGACAACATTGGAAATTTGCTAAGTGCTCCAAACCTCTTTCAGCACTGCCGTGCAGAGAGATAGTTTGTGGCTGATTTGTGGGCCCACTCCGCTGTCTTTCACTTTTTAAAACTTATTTTAGTTCAGATTCTGACATAGGTGAAGCAGAACCCTACTTTGGGACTAGGTACTGACCCATTTGATGCAATATTCAGGATATCTTCGGGTTTAACATCTTGCTGACATATTTTCCATAGCTTTTAGGCTGGTATATTGCTTGGGAGCAATTTCTACCAGGTATAGTGGGGCGATGTCCCATGAAAAGCAGGCCATATCACGTGTGGTTACATGTTGTCTTGAGTCATGCAAGTAATGGATATTTCTGGTAAAGCTTTTTGCTGCACTATATGGATACCTAAAGCATATAATATCAATATGCTATAGGAATGTCGCAAATATGAGGCAAGGTCTTGGCAGCCAAGAGTCAAGTTTGTCACACTCACTCCCTCGTTTGCATAAATGGTAGCAAATCCTTGAAAGCTTTCCACTTTTGATATTATCATGGGCTTATTCGCTGACAGAAACGACTTATATTTTTAGTTTCCAAATAGGGTGTAATTAGTGAGATAGGCTTGAATATCAAAATCATTTGGCTGCACATTTTAGATCTGGCTTCCTTTGACTGGCTACAAATCGGCTTAACCCTCACCCTGACAGGAGGGGGATGAATCTCCCCCGTAGTTTTTTTTTAGATCTCTCTGTTATATTTCGCAATTCCGCCCAAATTTTCAGTATCCTATGGGGCATTACCTGCACATGTGTTGACACCAAGAACGCGTTCCTAGCGTCTTTGATCCCGGAGCAGTGGCGGTTTTTTAAGGAACACTGCAAGGCGATGTACAAACCTGCGAGGGCGGCGGGCGGCAACTATCGATGTTCGTTCCGCTGTCGCGGAACGCGGGGTCGGGCCGGCGCGGTTACATTAACGGTGCCATATGTCATAAAGGTATTTTAAAAACACATAAAAGCGTGCAACATTGTACCCAGAATTAAACAAGAAACACGCCTTGGTAAGCCTTGTTTTCCTCAAGGCATAGTCTCGTTGACATTATGTAAAGCTGAAAAAGTGCGATTTCCTGGAAAATTCTACCTTTGAACTGCCATAATGGGGTCAGTTATTGAACTAACACCATCAACGCTGGTCGTAATCGTAAGACCTCGTTGATATCAATACACTTGTGCTTTCTGCTAAGCTGCATCTTAATCGCTTTGCAAACGTTAGGTGGCGGATCCCCGCTGGCCGTCCGTGTTATAAAAAACGGCGAATTATGGAAAGGGTTAAGGAGCCAGAATAGACTATTTGCACTGCGTGACAGACAGGCTTCAGGTTTTCATCCTAGTCCGGTGGCGTCATGGCCCCTGACCGCCAATATAACCGCTGCAGTCGGTGGCGCTCCGTAAAGGGCTGCGTGTGTCGAGCTCGATTAATGCAGCAATACGTGCACCAGGATGCCGGGGCGGGTCCAGCCACGACGTAAAAAGCGAATAAGTTGGTCGGAGAGAGCGTAAAACCCAACCCAAAGCCGCACAAAGTTTGCAGTACTCGTTCAACTGAATTTGAAGCGTGGAACACGTCTGGCAGGGGTTGTCAAGGACATAGCGGGGGGGGGGGGGAGACCTGGTGTGTATTGTAGCCGAAAAATGTGTCGTTATGTCGTAATAATCATACGCGTGATGCGTCGTTGGCCCACAGTGAGGACGGTGTCGTTATTCAGTGTCAGGAATTGATGTCGGGAGTGCGGTCGCTTCTCTTCGAATCGGTAATTGAAGTCAACCCAGAGTTGTGCTAGGATGCCGAAAGCAGGACGTGGTATCCGCCTGACCCAGCAGCTGCGAGTCGGAGCCAGAGAGGATTTCGATTCGTATTAGCCCTGGGGGCATGATCCGTCTGTGCTGCAGAGGCCCTGATCGCCGCCTGTCTCCCTGTGCAGGGGACCTGATCGCCGCCCGTCTCCCTGTGCAGGGGACCTGATCGCCGCCCGTCTCCCTGTGCAGGGGACCTGATCGCCGCCTGTCTCCCTGTGCAGGGGACCTGATCGCCGCCCGTCTCCCTGTGCAGGGGACCTGATCGCCGCCCGTCTCCCTGTGCAGGGGACCTGATCGCCGCCTGTCTCCCTGTGCAGGGGACCTGATCGTGCCGCGCAGCATACAGTGCGGTGGTCTGCAGCACATGCTGACGGACGTGGTGCTCTGGTTCAGCAGTGGCGGCACGCGCTCCGTCCTCCACTACGACGAGCTGGACAACATCAACTGCGTGCTCGACGGCTCCAAGCAGTTCTTTCTCGTGGACGCGGTAGGTGGCACGGAATGTGCACGGTGATGGCATTGCATTTACCCAGTTCGCTGTAGTTGGTAGTGTAGTCTGTAGTGGTACGCCTCCTTACACAAGGGGGTAATAGTAGATACTCGGAACAGCGATGAAAGCAAATAATCACGTAATGCTGCAGGTGGCTTAAATGAACATTACTCGTGCTGACGCAGTAATAAGCGCTCTTCGCTGGCACATCAGTGATCGTGGTGCTCCATAGCGGACGGAAATAACACCGGGTACGATGTGCTCCGGCGTACGGACAGCGGATAGCCAAATCCGATTGACCGGATTACCCTCCAGCCGCACCGACGTCGCTATCTGCCTGCCTCAGAAACGGTGCGCGGAACAAGGTATCGTTGAAGACGGAAGGAGACATTGTCGTTCTCCTCGTGAAATATTCATCGCTAGAGGTGCACAGAAAATACCGTGCTGGCAGAATTCCTACTGTTTGCACGGGCCCTGTTTACATAGGGAATTGAAAATGCTGCCAGATTGGCACCACTGCTGGCCAGCTGTAGGGTTTTGTTTTAGTTTTCTTGCATCCGCGGCGCTGGTAATGTGGCGCTCTTGAGCCAAGCTGTGCAGCGTTTTGTCTCCACATTGAAGCTTTTACGATAAAAACCTTTTTTGGATTGTCACCACATTGAAGCTTTTACGACATGGATTTCCCAAAAAACCTGTTTTTTGGGAAAACCACGTCGATTTTATGTTCTCAGCTGCAACTTAAACAATACTACGACACATCACAACACTATCAACAGCAACAAAGTAATAGCCGTCGTCACCCTAAACGTTGTGCTTTTGCTGCTTAACCCTCGTGCATGCGCAGCCTCCAGCAACCTCCTGGCAACTGAAATTAGACCTGACCAGTCAGCGCAGAGCTTTCAAAGATCAGGATCGATAAAAATGGCCATATGGCAGCGAAGCCGTTCAGCCTGGGACGGTTGGGATGTCAGTCAATTTGGCACCACATTCACATTCGGATTCAGGTCCATATTCGGGATTCAGCGGACTCCTCAAATTGGCCTGAAACTTTGCGCACAGATGCAGTTGGATCTCCTGAGCAAAGTGAGCACGAACTCTCGGACCGGTACGCCCTATTACCGGAGATATCACGACATGAAAGATCACAATAAAAAATGCGGACTCCTTCAATCCTTCCCGAAATCCGTGTGTTGGTACATATTACCCTTCTGATTACGATAAACGCAAAAGTTTGAACCGGTACGCTTTATCAAGAAAGTTATAGCTTTTCAAATGCTGAGGCTGCTTAGGTATGGCGTATATGAGGCATGGATCACATTTTCGTCATCCTTGACTCAATCTTTGATATTGATATATCTCTGGTAATAGGGCGTACCGGTCCGAGATTTTGTGTTCATTGTGTTCAGGACGTTAAACTGCATCTGTGTGCAAAGTTTCAGGGCAATTTGAGGAGTCCGCTGAATCCCGAATATGGACCTGAATCTGAATGTGAATGTGGTGCCAACTTGACGGACGTCCTTGGCACAGATTCGTTCCCAGCCACCATATTCTCCATACATAGAAATATAGTACAATATGTTGAAGATACTGCAGTCAGCTGCATAGCCTGGTTGTAAAGCAAAGAGCACAAACGTACTTTCAGCACAAATTTGGATAAGTTCTTACACCTGTGCAAGAGAATAACCGAGATCGCCATCATTGACACCCTTTTGGTCCAATCTGGCAACCATTTATTTTCCAATGTAAACGGGACTTCTATCTGCTTTAGTGCCTGATATTTCGAACGTGGCATGCGGAGCCCGGCGGTCGGCAGCCGTGCACCACGTGTGCTCTGTGTGTGGTTAAAAGGCTTGTGATAGAAGGATGAAAGGTTTACGTGAAAGGCTTAGCTGCTGGACTGGAATGGCTGCTGCACTCGGACCAGTCAGTCAGATAAGACGAAACGCGGCAGATTAGCTCTCGTTTGTTGTCAAACTTGGCCTATTGCGTTTGTTGTTTTTTTTTTAGCTACGATGATGTGATAAACGCGGCCCAGGACACCCGCTTTTTTTTAGTGGCGGCTTGGTGATATAAATCAGGTGAATGTTTATGCTCGTCTGGGACTGCTTTGTATAATAAACTGTGCCGAGAACGGCGCCCTGACTAGCTAGTTAGGTTGGATTTACCAGACAAGGCTTCATAACGTGCAGCCAGCATGACTTTTTCGCTTGTCACTCGCGGTACGCAGCTACTCGAGGGGGTCTTTGTGATCAGAGCGTCCTCGATCTGCTGGAAACTGCCGAGCGTTGTGAGATGGGTCGCTTGTTTCCTGTTTTTACTCTGTAATTCCGTGAAAACGTTGTTCACAGCGTCGGCAGCGGGCGGAGTTTAGGGAAGTTCGCTCGTAAAAACAGTTCATGAATGTGTGATGGCTACAGCGAATGCACATCGCAAAGTAAGGTTTAAAACTAAAAAAAGGAAGTGTTGTCCTGATGGATATTGGTTGGTTTAATCTCTGCACTACATACTGCCCGACTCATTCGAATTTCGTATGACTAGCTTCAAACTTAAGCGAACGCAGCAGTCGGTTGTTGGAGATGTTTAACCCTTGCGCACTCCGCAAGGCTAGATGCATATACGTGTTCGCGAGATATCCCGTTTCGATGCAGTTAAACGACGACCATGATGATTCGGAGTTTAAGGGCGCGTCGGTTGCACACGGTCATGCAGCGACCATATATATCGTATTAAGGGGCAAAGTCGCGACTTAAACGAGTTTTCGGTTGATTAGAAAAGTCAGTTCAAAGGCCTGACGGTCAAACATGGTACAATAGTGAAAACATCACATTACACCTTAGTGGAGAAGAAAACGAAAATTTTCTAATATCGATAGCCAAAGATTTCTGACCCCAAATGTTGGGTAGTGTGAGCTTTGAGACGTTCGTTCCAAACGACACCTGCGTTGTCACTTGCGCACTGCGACACTTGCGCAGGACAGTCGCCCAACAAGTGGTGCATGGCCAGTAGGTCACGGCACCAAGCTAGCGGGAATATCACCAGCAAATAACAGCGGGCGGAGAGTGGCCTAAGTGTGTCATTTTATGCGTCGGCGGCAGAAAACGACTTCATCTCTTCTGTCTGTGAAGAGATGAGTGCCAGAGTCGGTTGCGAGGCTTCATTCATGGCTTTCAGCTTGTTGTAAAACGAATCCTAGCGATGCCGCCATCACCTCTGCATAAAGGACAAAAGGCTGGGTAAATTTCTTCAGCAGGTAGTCACATGACGCAGATTCGAGTTATTTGCATGGCAGGCTTGGTCGCTGCGTCGAGGATGCCGTTTCTACGGTTCCCAACGTGACCCGGGATCCAACACAGGGCCGCCGTTTTTCCAGTCTGATTAGGTGAAGAAGACATGACAGGATATCTCACGCAAGCGGGTTAGACAGACGTCACCCACAGGCAGTCAGAAGATCGCCCTATGAGTCAGGCAGTATCAAATACAAGTATCTCCTGTCCACTTCTATAAAACAAGGAGCTTTGATTACAGCGACAAGCTTGGATGTGTAGACGGATGCATGGACGGGCAGTGAGAATGCGTATGTTACAGGGCCACACACAAAAGCGCAGCCTAAGCATGTTGTCTTTTTGGAACCGTTTGTGTAAGTTGTTTATCAGTCAAAAGCAGCTATGTATTCCAAGGAGTGTGTTTGTCAACAACACACCCACTCTTAGCAATGTGAGTTTCCAAGGAGGATTGGGCATGACGTAGCTCGGATGATCTGGGATCTACGACACCCAGCATGCGTAGCGTATCCCCAGGATCCGCCTGGGAATTTTGGGTAGGGGTCATGGGCCTCCACCAAGAGACTTTGTATCGGCGATGCTCGGAAAACTTCTGTAGCGATACGGAGTGTGGCGTGATGAAACATGTTCAGTGTGTTAAGTGTGAGTCCGACACGCTATCTTAGATACAGAGTGAAGCTTAGAACGGATTGGGGAGCGGTACAGAAGTAATAGTTATCCGGCCCACACCGTATGACGTACGTCCCGCGCGCTTCATTGTGTTCAGGGATTTTAAACATAAATTAAACACTAATTAAACACTGTCTCGTAGGTTTTTCATATGTTCTCGGTATGTCAAATGTCAGTCAGACTTCATACCCATGAATTTCATGTGTTCCGTTGGCACGGTTTGTGGGTACAGTCTGAATGCTATTTCGGAGCAGTGACGACGAAGGCGGCAGAAATTCAGCACCCTTGCTTCCATGTAGGACAAAAGAAACCCTGTAGGATAATGTCAACCTGACATAGCACGAATGAATTACTGGTTTTCAGCGTAAGGCAGTAATGGAATATGGTCATGTTTGTCACCGAGGTGGTGGCCGTGCGAGGCTCGCGAACAGGCGCAAGCACAGGTATTCGGGAAGAGATCTCAGCAAGGGCGGCCTTGAGCTTAACTCATGACGAGTGACGCAGCCAGGGGGACGGGTGAGGGCTCAGGGGACATACTCCGTGTTATCAGATTCGAGCGTATATTTTTTCCACGACACAACTGGGTATATTCCTGGAATCTGCTAATCGTGACAGCTATGTTAATTTAAAATTGCGTGGAAGCTACCGGGGGCATCGACATGTAGAACCCCACAAGCATAATTTAGGAAAAAGCAAAACTAGTCGACAGCAGAGCGAAAATGTACGGTACTTGGTTGAAACAACTGTGTAGGGTACCAGGGGGGCGGGGGAGGGGGACAGCCATCATCAACAGCTCTTTGGTGCACTAGGCTCTGTACCTTTTGGCATTTGCCGGCCTGCCAGCCTGTTCGCAGCGTGCATCAATAGGGCAGTGAATCGCTCGTTAACATCTCCTGCTCTCCGACGCAAATAATGCTAGCTCTTCCTCGTCGCCGCAGATTCTGGCTGCACCCTTGGTCATGGCTCACCAGAGTAGCGTGTTGCCATAGGGGCGGAGCATTGCCAGGGGCCGAACGAAGCTGGGATGCATGCTAAGTGAAGTTTATTGCAGCATATGTCAAGAGCTGATATCCACACAACGATGTATGAATCACCACCGTAGAAATTGAGTCGTTTTGGAGCCAAGCATCGGGACAGATAACTTGTCATGGCTTTTCCAATTATTAAGTTCGGATTTGCCAGCCGGCATAAGTTGTCCGTCTCGGTGTAATCCGCAAGATTTGCAGCCGGACCTACAAATACAATCCGATATCCGGTACATCCTTATCCGTAACCATCAAGCGTCTTTTGCATTTCGTGGCATTTAACCCTATTTCATCCGTTTGGTGGTCTTAGCTGTCGCAACAGTTGTCGTTATGTATCTGTTAGTTAATTCCCCATTATTCGTCATTGGGAAGTGCGGGCTACATAATGGCATCTTTGAATCATGTTATACAGGGAGCTAGAATCGCTTTTGAACTAGGGTGGGAGTGAAAAATTCCATCGCAAAAAGACCGTGCGGGAGTGAAAAAATCAATTCACAAAAGACGGAACTTATGAGCTCGTGACGGATACTTCAGCAAACAAAGACATCTTTTTCAAGTTGGCAACGACGTTATATCCGAAACCTGACAAAACTATTTCGTTTTTCAACATCTTAGGCCATTAAAGTGAAACAGAGTGCATTTACACGCGCTCGGGTGGGGGAGCAAATTGACCCCCTACCCCCCCGAGGGCTTTTCCCGAATGGTTTTTGAACAGCGCGGCGTAGCCGCGCCACATTTTTCATAGCTGTAGAAAATCGCATAGCAGATCGCTTGGCATACCAATTTTAGATGTACCTTGGAACGTCGCTGACCTATGACAGGTCAAAGTCAGCCCATGGTTTCAGCGAAGGCAATTTTTAGGGAATCGTTCAATCTGATACAACAACGGAGAGTTTGACGAAGACATAAACATCTGAGATGCTTTCTTAGGCACCGCAAATATTGAATGAGCAAATTACGTTGACCTAAGGTAATGTATGAAGGTCAGACCAAGGTCAAACCAACCTGATTTATTACTCTAGGGGTTGATGTATGGGATAGTTTCTGGTGCTCATTTCAAATTTATTGACAGCAGGAACCGCATTATACATTTTCAATTGACTTCTTAGAGGTCAGAACAGGCCATTGACCTAAGACGACCCGGGTGGAACGTTCTGTTTTAGGAACATACTACGTAGCGTAATCTTTATCACTTGTTCAAATGAAAACGCAGAGCAGTCTTGTATCATTTTGGTCACTATGACCCTCAAAGGGTCAAACAAGGTCAATGACCTCAAATGGGCTTGTGACCTTTTACTTAGAAACAGTTACCCAGGTTCTGGGGGCGCTTTGGAAACCAACCTGGAATTTCACATTGTTTGGCCTTATTCGACCTGAAGGTCGTGACCTAGGAAACTGGAACCCTAACCTACGTGAGTTCACGTATAGGTCAAGACACCCTGTAAATTTGGTGTCTCTAGCTTTCTTAGTTCCCGAGATCTCAGAGGAGGGGGTTCAAGTTACTCCCCCCACCCCCCCTATACCCGAGCGAAGGGTATCTAGCCGGCCAACCGGGCGCGTGTTAAATCATAGTATTTTGATGACAGTATTATGAGTATAACAAATTATCAACACCAATAATATGACGCTGCACTCTTCAATTCCCTTCCACAGCACCTTCAAAACAAAACAAAGCAAAGCAAAGCAAATTCAATAACAATATAACAGCAGAAAATTCAACAAGCATAAAACACTCAACCAAAAAATCAGTGGACTCCTACACATCAGCCCAGCACCAAGTCAAACACAATAGTCATACTTCTAGCTTCTGTTAAGGTGGGGTCAGGGAAAACAAACATTTTGTCACTGTTTCTTACAAAATACCAATGCTTATTTCCTTGAAAGTATCATATGCCTAACCTAAAGAGGCCTTACATCATCTCATCCTGTATAACCTCTTCGTATCACAGCAGCAGTTGTGAGTTAATGATTCTTGCACAATTCCTATTGCCACGTGCCATGCACTTGACCAACTCAACCTAACTTAGAGTAGCCTATATGATGAACATCATCTCAACTCACCTATCTGTTAACAGCAGCACTTGTGATAAAAACATGATATTTAAAGCTAGTTTTTGGCTGGTTTCAACTTGCATTTTTATTCAGTTCATTTTTGCATGCTTGTTGACATCAGAAAAGGTTGACAACATGCCAATTATAACACTTTAAATCATTTTGAACAACTTATTTTGATTTTCATGGTTGGCCTGTGTCACGAGCAATAATGGGTATGCTCCATAAAGCAATCCCTATCCTCCAAAAATAGCATAACTTTAAGATGACCATGCCAGTATTGCTGCTTGCCTTTGCAGCTGCAGCAAATGCATCCATTTGGGCTTGTTTATTGATATTTAATGATAAAGTTTGAGATGTTGGTTTTATACTTTAAATGGGGTGGTCTGACTATTTGTTACATACCAATATTTAACTTATATTATAGTTGCAACGCAGCTTAGAGTACCCCTGTGTTAAAAACAACGTGCATATATACAGTACAGTCATTTGCCGGTCAGCAAACCATGACAACTATAGAAAGCATCTGGTTAAAGCAGCCACAAGGGACCACTTTATTGGGGCAAATAACCAAGGATATGTAACAAAATAAGCCAATTACATGCCTTGAGGCATCATAATTTGTCTTATGACAAAACTCGATGCATTAAAACAGAAAATGGCTAGCTCTCGTTACCAGTCATGTGTTGTAAGCAGGTAAGGTAAGCTATTACTTGGTCCACAGGAAACTTACCGGCTTCTTCCTGCTCCCCCCCCCCAAAAAAAAAATCAGCACCTTTTGCATGGTCTGCTGGCAGACAGAGTCATACGACTCACCCCCTAAATATAACTATTAATCATGCCCACCAACCTTCGAGATTGAAATGCGAAGCAAGTAAGAGGTGCACATGATAAGCATCTTCACAGGGGAGAATTTCACCATCAAACACTTCTGTATTAGCTGCGTCGGGTCTGCCCCAAGGCTCTATATGGCAGCATACTCTAATGCTGCCATAAATAGGCAAGGCTATTTTAAGCCTTGCCAGGTAGCATGGTAAGTCAGAAATTCGAAAAGCTTGGATTGATCCTTGTTGAGCACCGTCATGAACCAAGAAAATGGTTAACCGAAGGTTTAAGAGGGCAAAGATAACGGTAAAAATAAGTTCCGTGCTTCCAATTGTCTCCTTCACTCCCTGTGAATTGTTCACGCTTGGGTACATATCAAACATGTTTGGGCGGCTGGCGAATGTATCCAATTTATCTATGAAATACGTACAAGCTTGCAGTTGGAACTTCTTGCAGAGAAATTGGTCAGCATTTTAAGCAGCAGATGATACCTCTAAAAGCAATCGAAAAGGAAGGAAGAAAGTGGTATCACACTGGTATGATGCCAAGAAAAACTAAGGTAGCTAAATAAATATAAAGACTGGTACTTTTCTCGCAAAATTTTGTAATCGGCTGATTTGACTTAAAAACTGTTAATTTAAGTGCTCAAACAGTGATATTCATCTTGTAAGCTTAAATTAAAAGACATTTCTTGAACTTTTCTCTCCTGCATTTTGGGGGCGATGCAATTTAGTAGTCAAGTTTCCTCGGGGAAAAAGAAGTACGTGGAGTAAAATTCTCTACCAGACCTTGCTGGTGTTTGCACCAGCCTCTGTTTTCGTGGTGTGGTGGTGAGACTAAAAAAAATATAAAAAATAGGGGATGCGTGAAAACCTTGCATTTGGTGCACAGCTGCAGATTGTGATGCATTTTGTAAACAAACCAAACTTAATGTGTGCAAGCGGCTGGGGTCGCTCGGGTTCTTGGGCTTGGAGGTGCCTGGCGCCCTTGCTCTGTGGATACATAGACATGATTCAGATGTAGGTGAGGTAGGACATAGCCATAGGTGTCCAGGTTCTGCGGAGCCTCGTTTATGCTTGGTGGTTTCAAGTGAGCTCGGCTTTGGATGACATCTGAGAACCTCAAAAGGGAAATAGGGGTTTGGCATGTGCGACTAGACAATGTCAGGCAGGAGTGAAAAATTCACATAAAATATGGGGAAAAGGAGTGAAAAATTTCTCCTCACAGGGTGTTGCTAATTCTAGGACACTGATGTTAGATATGATAAGTAAAATATCGGCTCTGAAATGCTGTCAAGCTAAAGTCATGTTTGCGAAGCTGCCTGTTTAAAACCTAAAGTGTAACATTTTGTTGTTTTGTTTTTACGTCACAACGGTAATACCGATGTTGTGGTTATTTTTGTTTAAAGCAGGAGTGACCATAGATGCCATATTCTGCAACTAGAAAGCGTTATTGGTAGGACCGGTAGAACTGTTTCCAATTATGATCTATGTTTTCATCACAAGGTGTGAATGTGAGCACTGTGTGAAAAAACATTGAGGGGGAGGGGGGGGGGGGGTACCTTCTCGGGAAGCACAAGTTGCGAGTGATGAAGACATCTGCAAAATTCTGGACGCAGTATTTAGTACCTGTTCTCACATATGCTGCCAGTACGTCATATTCCTATTATCTTTCACATCATTACCTTGCTCATATTCTCCATCGTGGTCACCTTCTGAATCTATTTTGACATGTGTCCATGTGACAAAGATACTGCATTGTAGCATTTTCGCTATTTTGCTTTCTATGCTAGTTCTCACATGCTTTGTTCTGTGTGATATGATATTGTTCCCGATACGTACTTCCCTGTGTTACAGTTTTTGGGCACCACGTTAATGACGTCTGCTTGTATTGCTTTCTTTTCAGGAGCATGAAGCGAAGCATGAATATATTGATCACATGGAAGGACGCTATTCTTCCGTGGATGTGCAGCACGTTGACATGTATAAATTCCCAGGTAAGCGTGTCTAATATGCTGTTAAGGCCAAGTATAAAATAGCGTAAGCTGTTTGATTAGCTACTCCCACCAGTGCCAGGGAAACTCGCCCTTTGACATAATTTTGGGCCTAAAGCGACATATATCGATGTCAAAACCACTGTGAAAATATAAATCTGCGCCACAAAAATCTTTTGACAAAAAATAGGCCATACAATGTATTCAATGTTTTCTGTTACGAAAGGAGATAAATAAATGGTGTGTGCTGTCGTCATAGGTTACGTCACGACGAGTTGGTAGGGCAGCCGGGCTGCTTGCCACCCGAACCTCCGTGCAGTCGGGTCCTTGAGATTAGTGCAGATCCGGCCATTGTTTGTATTTGGAGAGTCAGTTATCTGTGTAAAAGAGCATTGAGATATCGAACGAACGTTGAAGAAACGGACCAACGAAATTGACGTCTAAATATAATGTGCAATTTGGTGTTGGCATTCAAGCCTTGTCTTGCGACAGCAGTTTGCATTGGCGTTGTGTATGTTGTGGGGTATTATAAGACAAATGCATGCACATAACGTATCGACAAACAGCAATATTTGACAACAGACATAAATGCTTATGAACAACCAGCATGGTGCCGCTTGACATACAAACGTGTTTAGCGGGTGCAGATAAAGGACTTGGGGCATGATACATGCACGTTTGCTTTCTGCTCATTAGACGCTACTGGAACTTTAATAAATTGGGTCATACTTTTATGCGTAAAATGCGTGTGCAGTCGATCCATGCCCGCATATTGTTTCGCTTCTACGTAGTTTTGGATTTCGTATTGCTTCAAATTGTGCGCATCATTGTCATTGCCACTGCTTGGTTGTCACCTATGGAGATGTGTCCAGGGTGGTTCGATTTCAGTCACAGGGTGGCCACAGGGTCACCGGGTTCGATTTCAGTCAGTGGCCTTGCCATGCCATTCAGAAGTCGGTGTGTGGCGTTGTGGCTTGGCCAGTGCACAACCTAAGCTTCAAGTTCTGTGGCCGTGTCGAACATTAAACCCGTGCCTCGTCCACAGGTCTCCGGGACGTCCCCTGGTATAACGTGACTCTAGAGAAGGGTGACTGCTTCTACCTGCCGTACAAATGGCCTCACCACGTGCGCTCCTCCAATACCAGGTGACTGTCGGACTGAATAATTGGTGACTCTCGGTTGCTGATGGTGCAACATCTAGAATGATCCTTTGGCGGGCCCGGCGTTGCCTTATCGGGTCAGAGGATTTTCGTTTGAGCAGCAGTTATGGGAGGATACGCTAGGCTGGAACACGCTGTTGTATTCGGCAGGTAATGTGCCGAATCGGAGCTTGAATCGATGAGCCCCGCTGCAAGACGATGCTCACGTTTCAATAGCGCTGCTCAGCATTATTGCCGTTTTTGACTACTTTTCTTGGGCTTTTCATCAAAATAACCTGTTTCCCGCCCCTTTCCTGAGTTTTACTGTGGCCGCCAGAGTGACCGCCATAGGGCTACTAGGCAAGCCTGCGGCGTACTGTAATAGAACCCAGTCTAGAATGTCTTCGCATTGCACGCACCAGCCCGTACGTGTTGTCTCGACTACCGTCTAACGTCGCCAGTACTCCGACGGACGCCCGGAGCGCGGCTGTCTGACAGGCGTCGCGTTCTCATAGGAACATGGCTGTGAACTTTTGGTTCGCCCGCATGCTGTGGATGAACCAGACCGACTGTGCGGGCAAACAGCTGAGCCACGTGACCAGCATGGCCGACTTCATCACGCGAGAGCCGGCCTCCTTTCACAAGTGAGCAACACCCGTACCCGGCTCTCTGGTCGCCTGGCGTCGCTCGTTGCTGGTCGTACAGGTTGTGTTCGGATTCGGGCGCTGTGTTCGGCCGCTTAGGCACCGTGTTCTGCAGGGGATATGCTGTGTGTTGTAGTGGAAACGGTGCCGGGCTTTGCTTGATATATCAGTGGGACCGAGCTCCAAGGAAAATTAGATATGTTGGTGCGTACCACAGGGCTGGGATACTTCAGCTGTTTCGGGCAAGGCCCCGGCCTAATAAACGATTGCTGAGTGTGCCCAACTCTGTGTGATCTCACCCTGTTCCAGGTCTGGCGGACCATATTCTGACCCAGTTTTGACCAGCCATGCTGTATTCCAAGTCAGACCGGCTCGGCCGTGCGCCAAGCGTGGCCGGCCCCGCGAGGCCCCAGGTGTGACTAAGTCTACCCCGCCGCAGGGCCGACATCATAACCCAAGCGGAGGGGTACGAGCAAATGACGCTGCACTCCTTCGCTGGCGTCTTCTCAAAGTACATGACTGATGGACCCAACGCCACCAAGCGGGCGTTCGACACTCTAGACGCAGACGGCGACGGCCTGCTGGACATCGCAGAGATGTACGCCTACGACACGGCGCGCTTCCTCCGTCTCTTCCGGAGCTTCCCCATGGAAGACTGAACTGAGGCCAGACGCGGGCTGCGGGGGAGGCCAGGCGGGGGCTGCGGAGGAGGCCCGGTTCCGGGCTGAAGGGGAGGCCAGACGCGGACTGCGGGGGAGGCCGGATGCGGGCTGAGGAGGAGACGAAAGCGGGACGAGCGTGACTGGTGGGGTGATGGCGCCCCCGTAGAGGTGTCTGGACTCCGGGTAGACGGACCACATGTGGAGGTGCGTCTAGTAGCTGTGACGCCTACGTTTGTGGTGCGGGTAATTCTACGCCATTTGGTCTGGAAAGTATGTGGATGGACGATGTCTTTCCTCTGGGAATCTCGCTTTCCTCTGAGCTTGTTGAGACAGTCTGTCTCACTGATGCGTGGTGCATTCGTAGATGACCTTTATCTTTAGAGACAACAGGGGCAGGGATGTTATCACATAAATGGGTTCTGTAAGAGCATCAGTGGGGCTGTTGACAGTTGAAGGTGTTTGGGCTTTCTTTTATTCCGTCCCACTTTCTAGTACTGCCTGCTAATGTTCTCCGTACATCAGTATCTGGGGCATTGTGAAATGTGTGGGTGGTCAGTTTGCTGCGGCTTCCAGTGTGATATCCTCTTGTTAAGAGTCATGCATTTCCTTAATAACTGCTCAGCAGCTTGTCGTTGGCCTACTGAAGTTGGGGTCTGTTATTACGATAAGTAAGAATACATATGATTTGATTTGATCTGATTTGATGTTTATTTTCGGTTTTTGACATGAGGCAGTACACAATATGAGGAGTGGATTGGCGCATAAGCGGGAAGCTTAAATCTGAGCGCCTCTACTAACAATGACAAGCCGTGGTCATCGCTGACAGGGAACCCACGACCCACCGCCCACTCGTCCGATCTGTAAGCTAACACGGGCTAGGCGCCCGCCGCCGCTCCGGTCTACACATATGGCCGTCCAATGCCGGCGGCGGACGCCCGTCCCGACAACGCCACCCAGTGGCCCGTTTGCTGCTCGCGCCTGCTGGAAGTTTTTCGGCGAATCGTTTGGTCTGAAAAAGAAATACGATGGAACACTAATCACGAAGAAATATGCACAATCTGACGCTGTTCCACAACGTCATCCACAACCAACATCTACTGCTAACAAACGTCACTGCACTTCTACCTGACACACGAACATTGCAACAGGGCGCCCTCTATGCAATGCAATGACACTTACATTACCACGGAACAGAACAACATACCAAAAATCTTATATTCCATCAACTACGAGAAGATGCAACCACCTTCCACTTGAGGCGTCATCTCTCCAGTCTTCTCGTTGCTTCAAACGGGAACTATGTCAGCGCTGCGGTGTGGCCGCGCGTCCGGCGTATCACAGCTTTGGATCTAGACAAGGTAACATCCTAAATACTAGGCTGAGATTGGGAACGTCAGACCTTGATGCCCACCTGTTCGAAATTCAAAATGTTCGAAATTATCATGCTCGTGTAAAGTGCGCCCGTGCATCAAAGCGTGCATCATGCTCGGGTGAGTGAATTATGAGGTTAGCCCGGCGCTGATTGTCGTTGGATCAGACTAAGCATGCAGCTTTATTCAACTGTAGGTCGGCTGCGAGATGGGTGCGCTGCATCCTGAAAGCATTGGGTGCTCTTTCGAGACACACAAGCGTAGATAGAAGGGTGTCTGGGCGTCAGGTGGTGAGTCGAGCCAAAGGTAAAAAAGGATCCACTCGCCAAGCAGTGTGGGAGACCCATATGAACGCCTGCTCGTAATGAAAGGAGAGTCAAGCGCTCCCATTGTTGAAACTTCTATTACATATATTCCTTCACGAAACGTCGATTGCGATGATGATGCGCGTATCAAAACACGGTAAGAGCAGAATATGTTTTAGTGGCCCGTACCTTTTTCAACACTGCCGTGTGGAGTGACAGTTTGTTGACACTTTGTACGCACACTCCACCGCCTTTCAATTTTGCAAAGGGTCCCTTTTGTTTAGCTATCTATATGTTCCTCATCCTTCCTGCGCTGTCCCTCCAGTGTAAAAAAATTAATCGCTCACTGATGTCGTTAACTCATTACATGAACGTTACGTGTCGTCATATTACCGGCAGGCTGAATTTCAGGGGTGAAAAAGTGTCTTTTCTGTCACCGACGAAATTTGGAGCTGTCTGAATTTTCACCTGTGGTCAATCTTTCAGAAGCCGCTGCAATACAACTGTAAATGCAATATATCTCTCCATGTAATAAACGACCAAAAGCAAGGACAATAAAATCCAATATGGCACAACCATCAAACATTTTCGTTCGGGAGTTCGCTTACACTGAAGATTGATTTGCTGGCCATCAGACACTGAATGAAGGTTGAGACTAACCTGACAGAAATATCAGATAAAGGCATACTTAACATAACCAGCTAAAGGCGTGTGGTTTCCTATTCAGCTGGTGGGGGGAGGGGGGGGGGGGAGAAGATTGTACCTCGTCCTAACCAGGGATCCTGTTTCCTATCTTGGTTATGATTTTTGTCAATTATTGTTCAGTGATCATAATTTGGGAGTTTGGCCCCAAAAACTAATTTTGAGGAACTACATCCATGATGCCAGCTGCGAAAATTTGTGTCAAATCTGGGGAGAAAGCTGTTTTAAGTACATTTCGGAGGCAGGCTCAAACCCATTTTTCCGGCGCCCTTCCCCCATCCGCTTCCCCTGAATAACGTCACTCAGATCCTGCCATCCCATAAGCCACGCAGCCATGAAGGCCAAGAAAAATATGCCATTGTTGAGCCGTTCATATCTGGCGCTCGTGAGCGCGATTTCCAGACATAACGGCCGTCACCTGGCTCTCAATAAATGCTGTGCAAGGTACGATGACATAATCAAACCATGACGCATTGAGGAGCATGTTTACTAAACAGAGAACTATGCTATCTAGAGCAGTCTTTTCCAATTGAAAAAAGTATACCAAAGGTTAAAAGTGAGCTTGTTTCACCATACAGGATGCTTGCTTCAGTTCTTCAAATGTGAAACATTCCCTTTATACTTGGTGTCAGATATCGACAACCAATCAGATAGACATGTAAAATCGAGTGCGTGGTGAATTTATTTCTGACAAATCAACCGACGGCCCACAGGTGCGTCATTAATCAAACAGGAATAAACAATGTCATTTTTTCCAAATATCCCTTAAACATAATAGCGTCGACATAAACTGAGACAGACTGGGAGAAAATTACTGCATATGCGGGCATTTATAGGCGGGAGTCATGCTACGGGCGGTGAAAGTGCAGGCTGGCGAAAGCATGTGTCGTGCACGGTGTTTTTATACAGGCTCTCTAATGCGCCCTGACCGATCATTGCTGCCAGGTTTTAGTGGCTACAACACGAAATAAAACCATGCTGTGAAATCACAACGCTAGAATACGATCAAACGCTTCACCACGCGCCCCACCGTTCGGACTGCTCTTGTGCCTCCGCAGCGCCCTGACGTGGCGCGTCAGAGCGGCCACACCTGACACATCTGAGCCGCCGGTCAGGCGGTGGCCACCGCCGACCTTTGCAAACATGTTCCCGCTACAGGGGACCTATCAACCACGTGGCTTGTGACGCAACACGCCGCAGGTTTGCAACGGAGCTGGCTGGCTGTTAACGACGCAGGTGCGCGGCAGTGAGCGGTGCGCACCGGAGGCATCACGACCATTTGCCGGCTCCGTGCGGAAGGCCGGTGCTCTGGTACCACAAGCGAAAAAGAGTGAATTGCTGGCGATATAGCTTAACACCGAGCTTCCATAAAAGGTAGGTGTTGTCTCAATGTGTATATATGTATATATATATGTATATATATATATATATATATATATATATATATATGTTGGAATATTTTGGCAGAATTCTTTCTTTGATACATGTTTGATTAAAAATAACTGCTGACTCAGCATTGACGACCTTTTTGATGCATCGTTCTAGTTTCCGGGCCTTTGACTTCGCGTCATCGCTTAGATTAAAGATGGTTCGCACAAAATTGCTCATATATATATATATATATATATATATATATATATATATATATATACTAGCGCTCTTTCATGACACGTTTCAGTTCTGTTTGAGCAAGTCTGGACAATTCCTTTTTTCCACGTCCCATCGTAAAACTAGTAGTCGACGCATGTGCATTGGTTGTGGGATAGCCCCTCCCAGGACACTTTTCAAACACATTTCAGCTAAGATTTTGTTCTAATGTTGAATTCCGCTTGAATCACGCTATTGTATTGCTCATAACATACTAATCCACTTCCTATCCCTTAGCATTCTGTGCATTACATTTTTGCTCCAAATGCTATCGAGGCCAACAAATTCTACGCCATTAACTGAGTGCCCCACGGAGTTAAAGTGAAAGAATATGGGGAAGTTCAGCGATACATTTTCTGTCCTGAGGGCTGACAAACGGTTCAAGAACGGGCGTATCAAGTCACCCTGTATTCCCGATGAAAGACGCACATTCACACACATTACAGTAAACACCGCACATGACGTTGCTTGTTTTACGTATAATCGTTTGATCCTACATGTACGTGACACAATCGTACACGACATTTTAGGGTCCATTTACCGAATCATGCTCTTCATAAATCCACCCACCAATGACGCATTTTTCCGCATGCCTGTCTGCCCTCGCCTCTTCATACATGCAACACAGGAAAAACTATAAATGAGCGGGCGACGAGCAGACGGGGAAGCAGAAAAATCCGTCATTTATCGGTGGATTTATCTAGAGCATGATCTAGGAAAGGGGCGTTTTAAGATGTCGTATACATCTGATCAAGCGATCAAATAACAGTGCATTGTAGATTCAAATCCCATGCGGCCCTCCCATCCTCTTTCTTATGTTTCTCTTTTCTCGTTGTTCGTTTTCCAGTCTCCCTCATCCTGTCCCCCGGAAATGAACAATGCCGTTTGAAAGGCTTCCAATCCATTTAAGTTAAGCCATGTCAGGATGCTGCATGGTTTGTGCAATATTGGTTAAGAGCCAAATGACGGTTGTGATATCTTGAAATTGTGCCCACTAACGCTAGATGCTAACGAATTGGTAATTTTATCTTTCTTGACCTTGGCCTAGATACCTAAGTGAGTTCACGTACACTCCAATACGCCCTGTAAATTTGGTGTCTCTAGCTGTTTTAGTTCCTGAGATCTTAGGAGAGAGGTTCAGATTGACTCCCCCTCCCCCCATCCGAACGAATGTATTCAACCGGCCGCCTGCGCGCATGTTGAGACCTAACACCCCCTAGTTTCCAAGCCACACGATTGGGAGACTAGTTCGGGGAGATAATTTTACGGTCACGTTAGCATTCATGATGTCATAATAACGTCATTCAAATTATGTTATTCCATAAGCCATGCGGCAATCAAGGCCGATAAAAATGCATTGGTCGAATCATTTATATCTCGCGTTTGTGAGCACGATTGTCAGAGATATCAGCCGTTTATTGGTTTCCAATCAATGTTGTGCAAGGTGCCGTGGCGTAAGCAAACAATGACGCATCGAAGAGCATATTTACTAAACATAAAAGTTGTCTTGTCTACAGTAGTCTTCTCTATTTTAAAGCGTAATATGTAGTATTAAGTGAGCTCGTTTCATTGCATCTGATTTATTCATTTTGATTTATTTATTACGAAACTTGGTGAAATCCAGCGAGTGACCTTTCTAACGCCTCGTCAGTACATACTACATAGATCAACACAGAATATGCAACACACGCAAATGAGACGCAACGCAAGCGATACACATGCGATGTTATAAAACATGAGCGACTTGTGATACAATCAGCGCCTGCACGCCATGGCCAGTTGGTCAATTTAGGTAAGTTCTATGATGAAAGATATTGCCTTGCCCTTGAACTCATTTAAGTTTTTGCACTGGCGCGTGGCAGCAGGTAGGCGGTTCCACGCCGCTACGACTCGATAGGGAAAGGCCCTTTCCACACACTGTAAGCGAGGGTGTTTTACAGCGCTCGTCTGCAGTACAGTTTCGTCACCGGTGGCTCTGGTGTTCCGCTGAGATACTTCAGATCGGCGCCTGGTCAGATTGCTGATAGCCGTGGCCCATCATGCACGTAAATGGCGCGAGGCAAACATATGCAGTCGCGGTGGGTGGCAGTCTCGTCGAAATTGGGCCAATTTAGTCGTTTTCGGGATTCCGTGACGTGATCTCGTCTGCGTTTGCCGACAGCGATTCTGACCGCGAAGTTAATAGCCTTATCCAGGCCCTGGCGCAGAACTGCTGTTGTCGAGGCCCATGCAGGTAGACAATATCCGATGTGGAGGAAGACCAGTGACTCAACTAGGAACGTCATTGTGCAGCTGGGAAGCACATGCCTAAGCTTGTTAATAGCTATGAGCGAGCCAAAACCGCTGAGCAGCTTCGGCCGCTTGATGCTGCCATTAATATTTTTATCGATGAGCGCCCCTAGTATTTTGATGTATTCTGAATGAGACAGCTGCGAGTTATCAAAATTCACACTCAGCCCGGCGGCTTTGCGGGTGTTAGTGGGTGTGCCAGCAACAATGTTGCTCCCCCCAAATCTGCATATGTGAAATATTGCCGCTAAGGCGAGTGTTTCACATCTGCATGGGGATTTGACCTGAAGTGGTCATCTTGAAGATCATTCGGTGTGGTTCACAGCTCTGCCATTCTCAAGATCTGAAACTTTTCTAGCTCTGATCTCGGCACTCTCTGCAATGGGCAGGCTATTTCTTGCATGCTATTTCAAGGTCACCCAGGCACCATGACGCCATGATATCGGCATTAAAGTTTTCCCTTTTCATTAGTCATGAGGCGATCAAGACCAAGACAAATGTAATTGTCGACTCGTTCATGTCTGGCGTTCGTGAGCACTATTTCCAGATATAACGATTGGCAATTGGCTCTCAACCAACGCCTTTCAAGGTTCGACGATGTAATAAATAATTAATTGGGGATCATACCAATACGCGTTCACGTGGGGATCATTTTGATCCCCCACGCTTTTACAAAATATTTTACTAACAGCGCGACGTGGCCGCGCTAAATAGCCAATTGAATAGCGGATCGTTTTGTATAAAATATCTAGATTTACTTTGTAAGTTTGCTGAGCTACGGCGTCTCAAAGACAGACCATGGATTCAGCGAAGTCACTTTCTATGGAACGTTCAATCTGATGCAACAACGGAGTGTTATACGAAGCCATCCATCTCTGAGATACTTTCTTAGGCAACACAACAATTGAGTGAACAAATTCCATTCACCTGGGATCAGTTATGAGGGTTAAACCAAGGTCAAAACGAACCTTTTTTTTAGTCTAGGGCATCCTGTCTGGGATAGTTTTTGGTGCTCATTTCAAACTGTTTAATAACAAAAACTGCATTACAATCTTCCATTGACCTCTTAAAGGTCAGAATAGGTCACTGAGGTAGAAAAGTCAAAGAAAAGGTAAAAATATCACAGCAAGGTCACTGACCTTGAATGAGCATGCGACCTTTTGCTTTAGAATAAGAAGTTACGTTCCGAAGGCATTTTGGAGACCGAACTGGAGTTCAAACTTGTTTGACCTTATAGGACACGTAATGTCATGACCTAGAAACCTCAAACTTTGGCCTAAGTCAGATCATGTGCAGGTGAACACACCCTGTCAATTTGGTCTCTCTAACTTCCTTAGTTCCTGAGATCTCAGGGTGCATTCAAATTGACTAACCCCCACCAGAGCGAAGGGCATGCAACTGGCCACCCGGGTGCGTGTTAACTGAGCAGAAAAAATTGTATTGTCCGGTACCGTATTTTCCACCAAAGACCATACTGATAGCTCCAAATAAGCATATTTCACCATATCTCATGGTCGTTGTAATATCTTCAACTGAGGAACATCCCCTTTTACTCGTCGAAAGAGATGGTAGCGGCGGTGTCGGAAGTGTTCGCCGAGCCAGATAACAGAAAGAGGTGAAATGAAATTGAACCGAATCCACAATGACGAGGGAGGGGGCGATTTTAAGCAAATCTGGGTTTCCGGGTTGGAGGCTTTTGCCAAAAACACTTGACGCTCGGAGAAAGGCTCTGAGATTTGGTCATGCTGAAGGCAATCTGAAATTTCCCCATGACTACACTAATAGGTGCTGTTCCAGGTGAACTTGAAAAAGGGGCAGACTGCGCAAGCCTTTTTGGCAGCTGACACGTTGATCAGTATGTCAATCAAGGTTAAAGCGATCGTCCGTTAAATGCTGCTAAAAGCCCATAAATCTTGAACTTTGAATGACAGATGTGCGGAATTGGAATTTTTGACAATACTTTAGGGAAATTAGCTTTTACAGATATGACGCAATGGTTGCATATCTGATATGTGCAGACAGTTCGGACTCGAGTTGTGTACAGTTTTGTACTTGGTGCGAAGGTTGTTGGTAACTATGGTAATTACCTTCTCACTGTTTATTTACGTTTTATGGTGTTTTCTCATACGTTTATTGGGTACGTCGGCGGGAGATGTCTTTTTAATGATCCTTTCAGACGAGGAACTGCACACATAACCTATAGAATAAATTAAAACTGTTTTGAACGTAGCTTCCGCTCTCTGAACTCTGCATGTTGTTCAGGAAAAGTGGCACCATTGACGATGTACTGAAAAACAAAGATTACACATGTTTGTACACCTATGCACCTACTGACGTGCATGTGTTAGGTATAGGTGATAAATGCAAAGCATAAGGAATGTTGTGGCAGTTGTGAAAAACAAATATTGCCTCCCTGATCAAAGTAACTGGTTCATTGTGCACACATTGTGAATGTTTTGGCAGTGACACATGTATTAGCAATGATTTCACTGTTGAATATGTCAGCAGTAACCCATTGCAATATAGATGATATATTTAAGCAGAATTCACTGATCACTTTTTATCTCCAATGTTACCAGATGCTGTGTTTTAAACAACTGTTATGTTCTTACTCAGCTACTTTCCAACAAGTTATTGCTTAGATATGGATGTTTATGTACTGTGTGGTTGATGGCAATGCATAACACATTTTGTGTTAAATTTTATGAACATGGAAAAGGTTTGTCATCTCGGTCATAATGACATTTTTGTCTTGACATGATTTTTACTGAATGAATGGAATTATTCATTTCACAGTTTCATCTCAGTGGAGGATTATGTATGATTTGGAAGGTCTTTGTTACATTGGAGGAAATTTACTTAAATGTTGTTATTTTGATTAGGTACACAATGATGATGACATGGAATTGTTGAAAATTATTTAATGACTGCAAAATGAATGAAAGTTTTCTTACATTGGAGAAATAGCTGGTAATGGATGCCCTGTGAAGTGACTATGATAAGCAACTAGCAATTACAACAGTGATCTGTGGAAAGATTAGAAAAGGTTGTCTAGATTGTCTTCTAACTTGCCTTGTTAGCACTCAGATATGTTATATCTAATGACTTTTGTTTTTATTTCAGAGCACACCTGTGTATGATCATGCCAGGATCCATGCATACTTCTGGGCAGGATGACCACCAGGACACATGCAACTCACAGGAAGAAAATGCACAAAATTCAAAGAAGGAAGAGAAGATACTGGGAAAGAAATCATGCAACAAGCAGGAGGTGAACCACCAGCCATTATTAAGTACAAATGTAGCACATCTTATTGCTGCCATACTTGTTATCATCCTGGCTGTCATTGCCACCAAGGCTGGCACATCAAACTCTGATGACCTGAAAAAGCACCTGCTGGTAATTTATGAGAAGTACATCATGTTTTGGCGCAGTGCGCCGGCCGGCCACGGCCGGCCCCTCGGCCACCACCAGCCACCGCTTGCAGAACCCATCGACGTGCTGGAGGAGTTCCCACACCCCGAGGAGTTTTATCGGCGCTACACGAAACCACGGCGTCCGGCCATCTTCCGCGGCCTGGCCCGGCTGCATCCAGCCTTCCAGCGCTGGACTGACGACTACCTAAGGTTAGTGACCCGCCCGCTCAGTGCGTGCAGCACCCGTGTGACGCGTCGTTGCTGTGCGCGCTAACCAGCGCGAGTCGGCCAGCACACTCGAGTTGGCGCGTGATTTTACGACAGCACTCCGCGTGTGAAACTGCACAAGGCTCGTGGTCAGCCGTCAGTGCTGTGAAACAGTTGACACATCCTGTTTCCGCTATTAGGGGCTATTGGTGAGCAGGTGATCACTTGAATAATTGTTTGATGGATCGTTCCCTGCGGTTTCGGTTAACGCTGAGTTTCTTGCCAGGAAAGAGTTCGGCAATTTAAATGTTGACGTCGAAGTCAAGAAAAAAGAAGATAGAGGGCAAGGATCACTCGACATGAGTTTTGCACAATATCTGTCTATATACAGCAAAGAAGACTACTACATGGTGTATAGTGTTCCGGAAGAAATGCACGGTAAGTGGCTTGGTTGTCATTGATGCTGTGAGACGGTCTGCAGGAAGCATGATTATGTTAAAGACCTGATCGGCCTTTGTCGACTGAAGTGGTGGGGCCCTGGAATGTCTCAACGCTAACTTCACTGCTCTGCACAGTTGAACCGTTGCAACGGACAATTTCACATGACTGAACACACGCAAACTTTCGAATGCATAAAATGTCGTCTCGATGGATGGTCTGATCAGTGCCAGTTCTAATGGCAGCGTTCTATAATCCATGCACTGTCCCAACTTCCCTAGGATCGTGGCGTTATGGCCAGACCTGTACTCGATAAGGTTGTGAGCAGGCTGCGTGCAGCCTCTTCCCGCGGTCCTGGGGTCTCTGCCCTCGGCTCCCCGCTGACCGTCAGCGGCTCTCCCTGCCTCTTGAGCCAGGCAGATTCATCTCTCAGACTCATCATCGATTCTGTCGTGTCTCTATGCGCTGTTTTCCTCGTCGATGGTAACGGTCCAGTGAGACAGACTCATCGACACCTTTCTGCGTATCTTTGAAACCCATGGTCCTGAATGAACTACGCGAGTTATGTAGGATCGCTTGCGCTCCAGCGTCCAGTGACGAGATTCGAGAAGCCGTCTGTTGCCACTGTGCGGCACTGGCAGCAAAGTCATAATGGCCGTGCGGTTAGCGTCTTCGGCTCCCACGTGGGGCCCGGCTTATCACCCCGATAGCGACATGGCCCCTGACCGCCAATATAACCGCTGCAGTCGGTGGCGCTCCGTGGAGGGTTGCGTGTGTCGCGGTCCACTAATGCAGCGATACGTGCACCAGGATGCCGAGGCGGGTCCAGGCACGACGTAAAAAGTGATTAAGTCCGCCGGAGAGAGCGTAAAATCCAACCAAAGGCCGCCCGGTGTTCTACCGTACCAGTTTAATTGGTTTGGGGGCTTGGGACACGTCTGACAGGGGATGTGAAGAACGTGGGAGCGGGGAGAACTGTTGTGTATCGTAGCCGCAAAATGTGTCGTAACGCCTTAATAATCATACGCGTGAGCGTGTCGTTATTCAGCGTCAGGAATTGACGCCGGGAGCTGAGCCGCTTTTTTGAGTCGGTAGTTGAGATCAACCCAGAGTTGTGCTGGGCTGCGGAGAGCTGGACCCGGTATCCCCCCGACCTAGGAGCTGCGAGTCGGAGCCAGACAAGATGTCGATTCGCATGGGCCCTGTGGTGCCTGCTCCACGTGTGCTGCACAGGCCCTGATCGCCGCCTGTCTCCCTGTGCAGGGGACCTGATCGTGCCGCGCAGCATACAGTGCGGTGGTCTGCAGCACATGCTGATGGACGTGGTGCTCTGGTTCAGCAGTGGCGGCACGCGCTCCGTGCTCCACTACGACGAGCTGGACAATATCAACTGCGTGCTCGACGGCTCCAAGCAGTTCTTTCTCGTGGACGCGGTAGGTGGCACGGAATGTACACGGTGATGGCATTGCGGTCGCCCAAGTTCCTTGTAGTTGGTAGTGTAGTCTGTAGTGGTACACCTTACACAAGGGGGTAATAGTAGATACTCAGAACAGCGATGAAAATTAAGAATGACACAATGATACAGGGGGCTTAAATGAACACTACTTGTGCTGACGCAGTAATAAGCGGTCTTCGCTGGCACGTCTTTGATCGCGGTGCTACATAGCGGACGGAAATAGCACCGAGCACGATGTGCTCTGGCGTACGGACAGCGGAGGGTCAAATCAAACTGACCGGATTGCCCTCCAGCCCCACCGACGCCACTATCGCCCGCATCAGAAACGGTGCGCGGAATAAGGTATCGTTGAAAACGAACAGATGCATTTTCATTCTCCTCGAAAAATATTCATAGCTAGTGGAGCACAGAAGTTTCCATCATGGCAAATTTCTTACATGTTGCGCTATCTGCTGTATTGCCGGATGCTTCGAACGTGACGTGCGAAGCCTGGTGGGTGGCAGCCGTTCACCACCTGTGCTCTGTGCGGGGTTATGTGAAAGGCGTAGCCGCTGGACGGGACTGGATTGACTGCTGCACTCGAGCCAGCCTCTGGGTAGTACAGGCGTGGTACGTTGTGCTAGCTCTAGCACGTTGTGCAAACATGCCCTTTTGTGTTCTTTGAGCTACGATGATATGATTAACGCGGGTCAGGAAGCCCGTTTTTTCGAAGTGGCGGCTTAGTGATCTAAATGAGTGGAATGTTTTGTTCATCGGGGACTATTTTGTAACTGCTACGCCGAAGACAGCGCTCTAACTAGCTAGCTAGAATGGTTTTACCATATTAGGCTCCATTACCTGCAGCCAGTGTGACTTTTTTCGCTCGTCGCTCGCGTAAGTAGCTACTCAAGGGATCACTGTGATCAGAGCGTCCCCTATCTGCTGGGAACTGCCGAGCTTTGTGAGATGGGTCGTTCGTTTCCTGTCTTTGCTTTGTAGCTCCGTGAAAACATTATTCACGGCGTTGACAGTGGGTGGAGTTTAGGGAAGTTTGCTCGCAAATGGCGCTGCGTACTCGGTTTTATGTGATATGATATGGCTTCCTGTGCTTAATTTCCTGTGTTCCAGCTCTGAACTTTTGTGTGGGCTAAGCTGATGACGTCTGCGTGAATTCCTTTCTCCTCAGGAGCGTGGATCGAGCCATATAGAGTTTGATCATATGGAAGGGCGTTACTCATCCGTGGACGTGCAGCACGTTGACATGTACAAATTCCCAGGTAAGCGTAGCTGATATGCTGTTAACGCCGAATACAAAATAACATCAGGTTGTTTGATTACCTATTCTCACCAGTTCAAGCGAAACTCTCCCTTTGACACGCATAATTTTGGAATAAAGCAACATATTTTGATGTCAAAATGACTGGGTAAATCGAAATATACACCATTCGAAAAAACGATCCCGACAAAAAACATTTTTGACCGTAGCAAATATTGGATAGCTTTTTCCGTTACGAAAAGGAATAAATGGTCTACTGACGTCATAGGTTACGTCACGGCGGATTGGTAGGGTAGCTGGGCTGCTTGCCATCCGAACCTCTGAAGTCTGACCCCTGACATTTGTGCAGATCCGGCCATTGTTTGTATTTGGAGAGTCAGTTGTCTGTGCAAAAGGGCATTTAGCTGTCGGAGGAATGTTGAAGAAATGAGCCAACGGAACTAACGCAGTCTAAGTCGCGATGAATGATTGACTGGATCGAGGGATCAAGGGATCGAGGCATTGTCTTGCAACACGAGTTGGCATTGGCGTTGTGTATATTTGGGGGTATTATCAGGAAAATGACATAGATAATACGGTAGCAATAGCCTTATTCCTCGGAGAAGACCCAGAAGAAATGATACATTGATGGGCTGATATTTCGGCAGCATGGCGTTATCGGAACAATAGCAGGAGATAACGTGTCACATAGTCGCAGTTTTTGCCCCGATCCAGGCGTTAGGTATCGCGTGAAAGACCTGCCAGCATTTGTAGACTGGCGTTGCATATGCAGGGATCGCATGGCAAACGTTTGAGGTGCTCACAGGATGCAATGTGGTGCAAAATTAATTCTGATGAAAAGTAATTCAATAAGGCCCTTTGCAGCGGACAACCGGATTGGACCAGGTTGTAGGGCTGAGTGCGGCCAGAGCCAGCGCATCGTCAGCCCTCGCCAGAGACAGCTTAACGGCCAATCCCACCAGAGCTAACGAAGGGCTGGGAGGACATTTGGGACGCTTAAAAATGTGACTCGTCTGCGAAAACTTCTTTTTGCATTTTTTTAGCCAATATATTGAAGAACTTATATGGTAACGTGCACAACGTTCCACGTAGCGTGACCCAGCCAAAAAGTGGGGTGGATACTTCAACGTGCGGGGCATGGTAGCGCAGCGAGATTCCAACTTCCAACTCCGCGGGACACTGGCTGAGAAGCGTGATAAATGCGTCGAACAGCCGAAGTGGCGAACGCGTGACCTAACATTTACGTTGTGGGGCGCTTTCTAGTGAGGCGATTTGTTCGTAGTGTGTTCGGTTCGGTATTTCCATAGCATTGTAAGAGGTGTGTCGGGAACAGTACGCTTGAAGCAGACACACCGTCGAAAGCGACGCGGGAACCAAGGGGGAGCTATGCTTCTGACTGTCTGAAAAAAATTCCACTAGCCCTACGGGTGGTAGCTGAAAATAAAAAATCTAAGTGGGATATCGGCATCCCAACTTGAGAGAACTTCCGGTGTCCATGGCCGTTTTAAGATCTTCTGGTGTCCATGACCGTGTCAAGATTTCGTGGTGTCCATGACCGTGTCAAGATTTCCTGGTGTCCATGACCGCGTCAAGATCTTTTAGCGTTTTGTATGAAAGGTACTTTCACTCACAAGAAGCTTTTGCCGTGCCAAAAGCGAAGGGGTGAAAAGCGTGCATGCGGTCAATAATTTTGTAGGCTCCCACCGTGGGGACATCCCTCATGTCACCCACAGTGTCGCTGCCTCCGGAAATGGCTCGCAGAAAACTTGCTTTGCTCCCAGAAACACCCAATGTTGGTCTGCGCGCCGTCTCCAGCCGACGCAGCTTCAATCGCACATCAAGCTTGCAAGATGAACTGGGCTAGCGTCGCCCGCCAATGGTGCAGAGGCAACGTTCGCAATACAGGAGAACTAGAGAGGCTCCCCTCTCAGCTGCAGGCCAGGTCCGGTCTTCGCTGCTGAAATGTTTGCCAGGACACTGGTCGAGTGAGCACACTCCCGCGAGTGAGGACTCAGGCCAGAGGGTGGCGTCACCTATACTGGCGTATACAGTCCTGTGCAGCCAGAAAACCTGCGGGCAGCACATCATGTCGAAGGGCACACTTCTAAACGTGCGTTGGGCGACTTTGGGGTATATGATAGAAGCGGTGCTGAGTGAAAATAAAAGCGTGTACGCGGGCTAGGGTTTGTGGGTGTGTGCATGAACGCACGTGTGTTTATGTGACTTTAAGTTGTTTTTTTGTAACGTCTTCTTTTGTGCTGAGTGTCACTTTAAACGTATCTTAGAACCTTGACTCGATACTGATAATGGCCCTTAGGCATTGGAGTTTTTCTTAATCAAGCTGCATTGCTCAGCTGTTGCTGTAGGGAACTGAAAGTGCGCCTGTAGTATTTGAAGGTGCTCAGGTGTTTATAGCTATCACCAAAGAGCGGTGGGGAAAATTACACTTTCAAAAACGACTCAACGTTGCCAGTATGGAATAGCACGATGCAGCACGACGCACATCAGGAGCATTTTCAAATCTGACCAAAAACTTGGCTTAACTGAACACAAATACGTAGCAGGTAAGGTGCCAAGTTTTCGGGGAAATTCCTCTGAGCGCTTTTGGGTGTTTGTTTTACCTGTCAGGGTTAAGAAGTGATTTAATTTTGCGGCTCCACTGCTGCGACACGTGAGTGATTTATGTTTGGCAGCGATGGCAACATCGCAGGAAAACGGATTGGAAATGATCGCCCGGGGCCATAGATTGTACGGTGAAATGTGAGGAAAATGGATGAGTAAGAATGGGGTCGTTTCGTCGATTATTGATGCGTACACACGCATTATCTTCTCAGTCTCCAAAATGCGACGAAACTGAATTGAAGCGAATGCAGTGCCCGTCACGCGCAGCGCTGAACGGCCTTGTACTTTTAGCCAGGTGTGCGCGTCACTTCAGCACCGCTTTCACGGGTCTGGCATTCGTTGCAGAAACGCCGATGCTTGGGTGCGCAGAGACGTTGCGCGATAAGGGCCTTCTTTATGCATACCGTCAGGAGTTCCACTCGAGCGACGACCGAGCAGGAGGCCGCTTTAGTGTGGCCTTATGAGCACGGGCCGCTTCTGAATGTTGTGCGGTCACGAAACGTGACGTCACGATTCTCGGCAGTCCATAGGGCGCAGCCGTTTGTGTTGGTGCGCCGGCATGGTGCTGCGTGACCTACAAACGTATTTAAGCGGGCGTAGATAAAGAACTTCCGTGGCCTGATAGGCTTCCGTGGCCGTGGCCTGATGCGTGCTCGCTTTTTGCTTATTGGACGACGCTGGCACTTAAATAAATTGGATCGTACTTTTATACGCGAAATGTGCATGCGGTCGTTTCATTGTAACAGCTCGTTTCACTCGTGCGTCGTTAACAAAATATCTGCGTTCACTTCTGTGCTGTATCGTCTGTTGCATTTTGCACTGCTTCAAACTGTGTGCATGGTTGTCATTGCCACTGACGTGGTGTCATCACTGGGATGTGTCCAGGGTGGTCCGGCTTTAGGCCCAGGGCGAGCTAAGTGTTTGCCCTGAACGATACATACAGAGCAACCAGGTGACATCTGACCAGGGAGTGGCCTATCATGCTCAAACTTTCCCGCTTGTGATTGGTGACCTTGCAATTTCGTTCAGGAGTCGGTGTGTGGTGTCGCGGCTTGGTCGGTTTCCCACCTAAGCTTCAGGTTCTGTGGCGTGCCGAACATTAGACCCGTGCCTGGTCCACAGGTCTCCGGGACGTCCCCTGGTATAACGTGACTCTAGAGAAGGGCGACTGCTTCTACCTGCCGTACAAATGGCCTCACCACGTGCGCTCCTCCAATACCAGGTGACTGTCGGACTGAATAATTGGTGACTCTCGGTTGCTGATGGCGCAACATCTAGAATGATCCTTTGGCGGGCCCGGCGTTGCCTTATCGGGTCAGAGGATTTTCGTTTGAGCAGCAGTTATGGGAGGATACGCTAGGCTGGAACACGCTGTTGTATTCGACAGATACCGTGCCAAACTGGATTTGAATGAATGAGGCCCGCTCATTTTTATTTTTTTAATCGGTGCTTACTTTTCTAAAGAGCTGCCCAACATCGTTGCCGTTTTACTACTTAAATTGTTCTTTTCGTTACAATAGGCTACTTCCCGCCCTTTTCCTCTGCCTAATTGTGGTTAAAGGTGTGGCGTTAGCCCAGTGGATTAGGCTGGGCGGCACACAACAACGATTGGGACAGAGGGGGCGGGGGGGGGGGGCGCCATAAGGCACGTTAATTACAAGAAAAGGAATGTCAAAAAGAGTAGGAAAATCAAAAAGTTGTACTAAGCTTATGTCAGACCACGCCTAGAGTACTGTGCACAGGCTTGTCCCCATGCACCCAAAAATATATAGACTGGAAGGGATAGAGCGAAAAGCTAGGATGATAAATGGGATTGGCGACTTAGAATATAAGGATACGCCTAGGGCCTTAGATTTGTGTTCACTGAAATATCGCAGACTTAAAAGAGATCCGATAGAGGTATGCAATATTATGAAAGGGGATTGGTAAGGTAGATCTACATGGAACACTGGAGATTAGGCAGAAACAGAGGAACCCAGTTTCATTTGGCAAAAGGTGGGAGCAGAACTATGAAGAAGCAGATGTCATTCAGTCAAAGAGAAGTGAAGCAGTGGAATGGACTAACAAACGAAGTTGTAGGAAGGCCCTTTCTAGCAACACCCAAAAACCGTTTGGACAAGCTTGGTCGGTCTAAAGATCTCATGTGTAGCTAAATTTATGTAGTTCATGGGACTAGTTTTGAGGATGTGTACAGAACCTGAGGTGGGCCAACCTCGATGGGCCCTTGTGGCTCTGTGTTGACCGGACATCTTTATGTTTTTATGTGTCTACAGTGTAATGTAATAGAACCCAGTCTAGAATATATTCGCATTGCACGTACCGGCTCGTACGTCTGTTGTCTTGACTACCGTCTAGCGTCACCAGTCCTCGACGAACGCCCTGAGCGCGGCTGTCTGACAGGCGTCGCGTTCTCTCAGGAACATGGCTGTGAACTTTTGGTTTACCCGCATGCTGTGGATGAACGAGACCGACTGTGCGGGCAAACAGCTGAGCCACGTGACTAGCATGGCCGACTTCGTCACGCGAGAGCCGGCCTCTCTTCGCAAGTGAGCAACATCCGTACCCGGCTCTCCGGTCGCCTGGCGTCGCTCGTTGCTGGTCACACAGGTTGTGTTCAGATTCGAGCGCTGTGTTCGGCTGCTTAGGCACCGTGTTCTGTAGAGGGCACGCTGCGTGTTGTAGTGGAAACGGTGCCGGGCTTTGAGATATCAGCGGGGCCGAGCTCCAAGGAAAATCATGTATGTTGGTGTGCAACACAGGGCTGGGACACTTCAGCTGTTTTGGGCAAGCCCTCGGCCCAATGAGCGACTGATGAGTGTGCCCAACCCTGTATGATCTCATCTTGTTCCAGATTTGACGGCCCATGTTCTGACTCAGTTCTGACCCAGTCATGCTGTATATACGAAACACGTTTCAGTGCTTAACTGAAATTGGTGAGCACTGAATAATCGGCATGCGGCCAACATAACGTCTTTTTCACAGAAAAAATGTTTTACACAAAATACAGAGGCACTGAATAGTCGGCATTCATATAGAGACATGGTTGTGCACTTACGCTACAAACAGCCCTCTCATGGTAAAAGGAGTATCGGCAGCTTTAATTGAGTTCTATTACAGCAGTGCGGATAAGACCAACATAAAATTTCACCACATTGCTGGAGATTATAGCAGCCCGGCCCTTGTAGTTCCCACACCCTGAATAAGAACATTTTGAATTATTTCAAAATTATCTTGACTGCAAGAAAATACTAGTCTAATTAACGTCACATGCCTTGTTTGATATGCTGCTTAAATCGAGGCGCATGCTTTCTACACAAAAAACATTGGATGTACATATGGCAGGCATAGTTTTTAAACATGTCTGGGGAGGACTGTTTGGTGAGATTTAACAATGTGGACCAGCAAAATATGTTCACGACTGGGCTTCCCATGTCTTATGTTCTTCTAAAAGTTTGGGACAGAAACCAAGTTGAGGGGACCTCCACCACTGCATAGGACACTACATACCTATAACATTGAGGTCAGTTGAAAAAAATGACATCCGTTCACATGGTTCATAGCCAGCACTGACGTACGCCTCATGACTCGTCCCATCCGTATGCATGGGTGGTCTGATGCGCCATGGCCTTCGGGGCTGAGGGCCTGACCTGATTGTGTACAGGCGACCTGGAAGCGTCATTTAAGTTGATTATTCACCTAAATAACATGCATTCCTAACACCAGGCTTTAGAAAAGTTAATCAAGGGCACCATGGATGAGCAAATTTTAGTGGGTGTTGCACCCGTGTGCACATTGCACAAATCAAACACTATTATACCCCTTACCCCTCCAGCACTCCACACAAATCTGTACGTCCGTTCAACGCGCGCCCCGCGTTTTTTCACATTGTATGTAGTGCTGCTAAATCAAAATTTTGTCACGGAATCGGCACCCTCAATTCACATCCTTTTGACATAACGACACTTAAGTCAGTGTGGTGTCACAGAACCCGCATAGAGCAACTCAGATATAGTAGTAGAATATAGTAGTAGAAATATAGAATATAGCCTTGTCAGATAGACGAAAAGACCAAGGGTGAAGGTTTGGGTGGCACTTAAACGCAGCAGTGACGAATAGAAAATAGATACATCCTCCAATTACACAGGAAGGTTAGGACAGAGATATTGCTTGAACGGTTTTTATGCAACGTGGTTGATCATTTAGATAAAGTTTTGGTATTTCAGCTGAAGTAGGCTTCAGTCCAGTCATCTAAGCCGCAAAGAGCAGATTTAAAACGGGCCCCACCTCGTCTGGCAAAAGCGACGCCGGAAAGCGCCCAGAATTAATGGTATAAGGAGAAAGAAAGCTATTTAAAAACACGATCATTTTGACTCAAATTTGGACTACATGACCAAACTTAAGGTTATCGCTTTATATGCCTGGGAATCTCATCCGTTTTTGCCGACAAACGTAATGGAGTGCCGCGTCTAGGGTGCCAGTCGACGTCTCGCTGCCGGCGAGACGTTCAAGTTAGATTAATATCACACCTTCACATTCGCGTGTCACATTTGATCTACTCACCAGTTACTATGAAACTTAGCTCACAGATAGAGCTAATTATGTCGTTGACGAATATACAAGTAACTAAGTGCGACATCCGAAAACAAAGTTATTTAGAGTTATTTAGAGTTATTAGAGAGCAAGGATCAAGGTCGTTCAAGGTCATTGCTTAGTGAACCTTCCGGGACTCGACAGATTTCGGCCCACTTTGGTTTGTTGATAGAACAAAGCATTCCAATTAATAAAATCGCATTTTCCAAATGTGACATATAAAACCACGCCCGTAAAGAACCATCGAAGTTCAAGGGCACTCAAAATCGGACTCCTTCGGTTCCTTTGAGATTTGGCAAAACCATTCACAACGCATCGCTCCACCTAGCCTGCAAATATTAGATTGTGACATTCAAACGTTCGTCTTCCAGAGGCATTCAAATTTTGGAAATGACGGCCTCGCACGTATAAACATTTATACATTTCATGTCAGTAAAATGGCAGAGAGCTTCGATCACCTTGCATTTGGCACAAATGTGGACCATGTACATATACAGTTTTCGCCAAGTGGCAATTTGTAACATTTCTATTCACGCATTCCAGAGACTCGCGAACAATGGAATATACGACATCTCTAAAACGAAACAAACGGTCTCGTAATACGGCACCAAAACCAAGGAATGCTGAACAATGCATCTCTTATGATACAATTAGCCGTTGCCTCTCATATGATGCGTCATATGACGATACAGCATGCAAAACGTGACGTCCAAATCAAAAATGTCACATACGATGTCGGTTTTCACACATTTGCGGACTCAATGTCACATACGATGTCGGTTTTCACACATTTGCGGACTCCTCTGATTGCTTTGAAATTCGCCACAAATGATCACCTTACGTGGTTCCACCTAGCCACCAGAGATTATACTATGTTATTCAGGCGTTCGCATTCCAGAGGCATTCAAACCTTGAAAATGACAGCCTCGCACGTATTAACATATACACATTGTATGCCAACTAAATGCACCAAAGACTCCTTCGATCACCTCCAAATTTGGCACAAATGTGTACCACATACGTGTACAGCTTTTTTTAGCAAGGGGCATGTTATGACATTTGAATTTACGCATTCCGGAGGCTCTCAAAGAACAGAATATGTGGCATATCTCTAAAACGAGACATCCAGCGTCGTGATATGCCACCAACACCAAGGAATGCTCAACAATGCATCTCTCATGATGTTATTAGCCGTTGCCTCTCATATGATGTGCCATATGACGGCACAGCGTGCAAAATGTGACGTACAAAACAAAAATGTCGCATTCAATGTCGGTTTTCACACACTCGCGGACTCGTCTGATTGCTTTGAAATTCGCCATAAATAATCATCGTACATGGTCCCACCTAGCCACCAAATCTGGTAGTATGACATTCAAACGTTCATCTTGCGGAGGCATTCAAACCTTGAAAATGACAGCTTCGCACGTGTTAACATATACACATTGTATGTCAGTTAAATGGACTCCTTTGGAGAAACTCCTTCGATCACCTTGAAATTTGCCAGAAATGTTTTTAATGCATATATACAGTTTTTCATCAAGTGGCAGTTTGTGACATTTCAATTTACGCATTCCAGAGGCTCTCAAACAATGGAATATATGACGTGTCTCTAAAAGGAAACAAACAGCGTCGTAATATGCTACCAAGACCAAGGAATGCATCATATATCCCATTGCTGCACAATGGATCTTCTGTGATATAATTAGCTGTTGCCCCTGAAATGACGTGCCATATGACCGTGTGGCATGCAAAATGTGGTGTACAGATCAAAAATGTCACATTCGATATCGGTTTTCACACATTCGCGGACTCCCCTGATTGTTTTTAAATTCGCCACAAATATGGAATTTGCTATGAAAAAGACATGCTTTCGGGTAGGTAGCGAAGGCAATTTCATGGATGCCATACACTCCGTGGTGAATGCCTCTGGAAGACAGGCGTTTGAATGTGGCAGTGTAATATTTGGTGGCTAGGTAGAGCCATGTAAGGAGAATGTACGACATTGAATAAGACATTTTTGATTTGTGCGTCACCTTTTGCATGCCGTACCGTCATGTGGCACCTTACATGAGAGGCAACGGCTCATTGCATCACTGGAGACACATTCTTCAGCACCCCGTGGTCTTGGTGGCATATTATGACGCTGGATGTCTCGTTTTAGTGATACATCATATGTCCCATTGTTTGAGAGTCTCTAGAATGCGTAAATCCAAATGTCACAATTTGCCACGTGGTGAAAAACTGTATACGTACATAGTACACGTTTTTGCCCAATTTCGAGGTGATCGAAGGTGTCTCTCGTGCATTTAGTTGACATACAACGTGTATATATTAGCACATGCGAAGCTGTCATTTTTAAGGTTTGAATATCTCTGCAAGGTGAACGTTTGAATGTCATGCTATAAGATTTGGTGGCTAGGTGGAACCATGTACGATGATGATTTGTGGTGAATTTCAAAGCGATCAGAGGAGTCCACGAATGTGTGAAAACCTACATCGAATGTAACATTTTTGATTTGTACGTAGCATTTTGGATGCTGTGCCATCGTATGGCACATCATATGAGAGGCAATGGCTAATTACATCAAAGGAGATGCCTTGTTCAGCATTCCTTGGTCTTGGTGCCGTATTACGAGACCGTTTGTTTCGTTTTAGAGATGTCGTATATCCCATTGTTCGCGAGTCTCTGGAATGCGTGAATAGAAATGTTACAAATTGCCGCTTGGCGAAAACTGTATATGTACATGGTCCACATTTGTGCCACATGCAAGGTGATCGAAGCTCTCTGCCATTTTACTGACATGAAATGTATAAATGTTTACACGTGCGGGGCCGTCATTTCCAAAATTTGAATGCCACTGGAAGACGGACGTTTGAATGTCACAATCTAATATTTGCAGGCTAGGTGGAGCGATGCGTTGTGAATGGTTTTGCCAAATCTCAAACGAACCGAAGGAGTCCGATTTTGAGTGCCCTTGAACTTCTATGGTTCTTTACGGGCGTGGTTTTATATGTCACATTTGGAAAATGCGATTTTATTAATTGGAATGCTTTGTTCAATCAACAAACCAACTTGAGTCGAAATCTGTCGAATCCAGGAAGGCTCACTAAGCAATGACCTTGAATGACCTTGAATTTCTACCTTTAATAACTCCCTTGTTTTTGGATGTCACGCTTAGTAACTTGTATATTCGTCATTGGCATAATTAGCTCTATCTGTGAGCTAAATTTTGTTGTAATTGGTGAGTAGATCAAATGTGACACGCGAATGTGAATGTGTAATATCGATCTAACTTGACGAACGTGGCGGCGAGGGTGAAGCTATCACACACTTATCTGGCGCCGGTGTTGCGATCCCGATTTGCTTATTTTTATATATCCCCTTGGTTTGAGCGTGGCTGGAGATCGGTTGGGTTGTGGGTTCTGGACGAATCAAGGCGCGTTATAACTAGACCGGCGCGTGTGATCAGAGTGGCATTAAGATTATATTGCTTTTGGACTGGTTGCAATTGTCTCCAAATAACAAACACTCCTGCCATTGCCTTGTGTTGTGATTGTGTCCCTATGAGCCATGACCGTGCGGTGCAATAGAACAATTCAGTGAGGTGGGATACGCTATTAGCATGTTGATCGCAGCTTTCAGCCTCATTCCGTGCTGATGGTGTCTGTCAATACTTGCTGCATAATTGTCATCAAGTATTTTTCAGTTTTAGTATGTTTGTGTATGTGAGCCTATAATACACGTTCTTTAGGCGCGTAGCTCATTTACATTCGCTACGAAGTGAAAGAGGATGCATTTGGGCCTCAGGATTGTATCGTGACGCACAGATCGGGTCAAATCAAATAAAGACAGGATGAGACAGATGGGATGCACAGTATGATAGTTTCAGAGAGTAGGCATCATCTTCTCAATTTCCTGTAGATGACATTTTGCAGGATGCAGGATGTGATGAAGGATGGGCTCGGGTTCTTCTGTTGGGTCACCTGAAATATAAAGTCAGATTATAGCCACTGAATGCATCACATGATGCAAACTACTCTGCGCCGCCCCGGATGTGACTAAGTCTGCCCCGCCGCAGGGCCGACATCATCAGCCAAGCGGAGGGGTACGAGCAAATGACGCTGCTCTCCTTCACGGACATCTTCTCGGAGTACACGACTGACGGGCCGAATGCCACTGAGGAGGCGTTTGACACTCTAGACGCAGACGGCGACGGCCTGCTGGACATCGCAGAGATGTACGCCTACGACACGGCGCGCTTCCTCCGTCTCTTCCCGAGCTTCCCCATGGAAGACTGAACTGAGACCAGACGCGGGCTGCGGGGGAGGCCAGGCGGGGGCTGCGGAGGAGGCCAGGTGCGGGCTGAAGAGGAGGCCAGACGCGGGCTGAGGAGGAGGCCAGACGCGGGCTGCGGAAGAGGCCGGATGCTGGCTGAGGAGGAGGCGAAAGCGGGACGAGCGTGACTGGTGGGGTGATGTCGCCCCCCGTAGAGGGGTCTGGACTCCGGGTAGACGGACCACATGTGGAAATGCGTCTAGTAGCTGTGACGCCTACGATTTTGGTGCGGGTAATTCTACGCCATTTGGTCTGGAGGGTATGTGGATGGACGGTGTCTTTCCCCTGGGAATCTCTCTTTCCCCCTAGCTTGGTGAGACAGTCTGTCTCATTGATGCATGATGCGTTCGTAGATGACCTTTTATCTTCAGAGACAACAGATGCAGGGATCCCATCACATAAATGGACTGTGTAAGAGTATCAGTGAGGTTACTGACAGCGGAAGGTGTTTGGGCTTTCTTTTATTCCGTCCCCACTTTCTAGTACTGCCTGCTAATGTTCTCCGTCCACCAGTATCTGCGACCTTTTGAAATGCATGGCAGGTGAGTTTGCTGTGGCTTGCTGTGGCTTGCCTCTTGTTCAGAGTCGGACATTTGCTAAATAGCTGTTTAGCGTAATTGCTGTGGGAATAGTTAAGATGGGGCTTGTTATTGTGATAAGCTGATTGACGCCCCTTTCCTCAGCTTAATTTCGATTGAATGCGGTGCCTTAGCCCGGTGAATCAGACTGCGCGACGCATGTTGAGTGGGAGGCTGGAATATGCCTGTCCCCGTAAGATATATGATTTTAGCATGGGCTTATCAACAGTTTTAGAATGGCCTTATCGTTCTGAACTCGGATACCTGCCCCGGTTAGTGGAATCTGGCTGTCATAGCACAGACGATTTTTAGCAGACCTGATCCGTTGTTAGCTGAATGTCCTATTCTGGCGGAACACCAATGGTCATTAGCTTCAGCGTGCATGTCAGCAACGACGGTACAGGTCTAGATTGTAATGCAGTGCAAGTCAGCCGCACGCATCCGTGTGAAGGGAAGTGTTCACCCGCTACCTGAGCACACGCTGGGATGAAAGCCTGTGGACGAGTCAGCAGACTGCCTTGTTGCGCTCAGCCGGCCGTGTGCACTGATCAGACGAAGTGGGCTGGCAATGGTCTGCCTGTCGGCTGACCGGTTGCTCCAGTGCTGAGAATGGTCGGGCGCCGGCACACGTGCCAAATGTAATCAAGCGCCCGCGAGCAGGGCGGTGCGTTGTCGCGTGTTCGGCCGGCTTGCGGCGGCTCGAGGCGGTTGGACTGCTAGCTCGATCCATCATGCGTGACGCTCAGCCAGCTAGACCGCTGTGGAATGATATAGTGCATCTAATTACGCCGCGACGGTGCGTGCTGGGTCGCGAAGCGGGTCAATACCAGTTCATCGGGGACTGCAGGCGTGGTGGTATGATTGCATGTCGTGATGCTGATAATCATCACGAAGCACGTCGGCCAGCTGTTCTGAGTAATGGCGCCGGGACAGCTGACGTCATTATGTCAAAGTGTATGAAACTCGGAGCTGTGCCCAGCATTAATATCGACCCGCCTATGTATGTGCCATAAGGCTTGTAGAAGGAACTAAAGAACGTTTGTCATGAAGTCAGTCTTAGTCCACACCAGGCCGCGGTGCGTAAGGTATTTTCCCTACGAGCAGCATTGTGGATAATGTCATCGATTGCGCACTGGTCAAGAGGCATGCGGGGTTGATTTGAGGGGCCCAGGCTTCTGGCCGTACTAGGAGCCAGTTACAAAGGCGGTATGAGCTAGATGAGTCGTGTCAGGGTGCAACTCTGGATGTACATACCCGCGTTTGATCTAGAGCCAGGTGTTTGCGTAGGACCGGCGCTTCTTCGCTGTCGGGCGAGTTGATCGTTTTGCTCTTGATTGATGGCATGGAAAGTACATCAGAGACAAAACTGGCAATGGCAGTGTTTTGTCCATTGGCTCGGATAGATTCAGAAATGATTTTGCACATGGTTTTTGACGGTTTGTGGGCCTAGCATAGCGTTCACGGGCAGTTGCACAGGACGCCGGTTTTGCCGCTTTTAAGGGGCTAACAATGAACAGACTAGTTTTAAGATTGTCTTGCGTCGCATAACCTACACGACAAAACGCAAAAGATCATTACAGTAATGCGACTTCATGATGTCCGTGCTGTTACCGTCGCTAAAGGCCCCGATTATTGGAGCCCTTGGAGCAGTCGTTACGCTGCGTGATTGCAGACTATAAACGCTGAGTGTGAGTGATGGACCGCAATGTCATTCCCATGACCCCTTGCGACGGTGTCCTCCGCGACGATATCGGACCAGTTGTATAATCGTGCTCAATGCCACCTGTGATGTGCGGACACGTGGGCTCCGCTGCGTGGCGATGTGCGTTCTGGGGATTATTAATATACAATGAAAGACCATGTCGCAGATTAAGCATCGTACTTGGTAGCTCGTTGTCATCAGCATGCGGTCACGGCATACGCTCCTGGCCCTGAACAGGACATTTCATTTGCTTTGAATCGGCGGCCGGGATGAAAAACGCAGCTCGGTCTCCTCGCCTATTGGCAATGTATTAACGTAACGGTTCGATGTCGGCATGTTCTCTAAAGAGCAAGCTCATCGTTCCCAGCTAGCGTATGGAGCGCTAGGTTATTACGTTGTACGACTGAGAGCATCCTAATTGGCAAGATTGTACCTTTTTACAGCAGTTGGGGTGACCCGTGCAGCATTCGTGGGGTACCTGTGACGTCAGGATTCGGGGTGACCCGTGCCGCGCTTGTGGGGTACCTGTGACGTCAGGATTTGGGGTGACCCGTGCCGCGCTTGTGGGGTACCTGTGACGTCAGGATTCGGGGTGATCCGTGCCGCGCTTGTGGGGTACCTGTGACGTCAGGATTCGGGGTGATCCGTGCCGCGCTCGTGGGGTACCTGTGACGTCAGGATTTGGGGTGATCCGTGCCGCGCTTGTGGGGTACCTGTGACGTCAGGATTTGGGGTGATCCGTGCCGCGCTCGTGGGGTACCTGTGACGTCAGGATTTGGGGTGATCCGTGCCGCGCTTGTGGGGTACCTGTGACGTCAGGATTCGGGGTGACCCGTGCCGCGCTTGTGGGGTACCTGTGACGTCAGGATTCGGGGTGACCCGTGCCGCGCTTGTGGAGTACCTGTGACGTCAGGATTCGGGGTGACCCGTGCCGCGCTTGTGGAGTACCTGTGACGTCAGGTTTCGGGGTGACCCGTGCCGCGCTTGTGGAGTACCTGTGACGTCAGGATTCGGGGTGACCCGTGCCGCGCTTGTGGAGTACCTGTGACGTCAGGTTTCGGGGTGACCCGTGCCGTGCTTGCGGGGTACCTGTGACGTCAAGAGCGTTCTGTAATGAAACGGGCAGAGTGCGCAGTGTGTCGGACAGCGTCGCAGCGTGGGTTAGCGTTCATGTGTGAACGTTGTCTAAATAGCTTCGTTCGGCCACGTGGCGGTCGTGCAGCCTGCAACAGCCCCGCCCATGGCCGCCTCCTACAGTGCGCCGGTCACGCGGTCTGCGTCACCCTCTCCCCGTCGCCGCCGCTGTCGTGGGTCGGCAGGGTAGCCTGGGGCAGCGTCGCCTCGGTGCCGTACGCGGGCGGCCGCGGCGCCGCGTTGACCCCGACCGTCTCCCCGTTGCCCAACACGCCGTACTCGACGCTCGCCTTGCGGCTGGCGGGCAGCGCACGCTTCTCGAACAGCTCCTCGATCTCGGACAGCGTCTTACCCTTGGTCTCGGGCACGAGCAGGTAGCCGAGCAGCGTGAACAGCAGGCACGTGCTGGCGTAGAGGAAGCACAGGCCGTAAAAGTGCAAGCCATCGCGCAGCTGGAAGAACGTCTTGCCGATGGCGAAGCTGGAGATCCACATGATCATTGACTGGACTGGCGAGATGACAGTGCGGTAGCGCAGCGGGATCATCTCGCCCATGATGACCATGCCGACCGGGCCGATGCCGATGTTGTAGACGAAGAGCGCCACCGAGAAGCCGAGGATGGCCACCCAGTCGGTGGCGATCGGGTCACGGATGAACATGGCGGCGAGCGCGATCGTCACCCAGCAGGCGCCGCACGTGAACATGGCCAGGATGAAGAGCGGCCGGCGGCCGGCGCGGTCCATCAGCACAAACGCGAACACGGAGCCGACCGAGCTGAGCGCCGTGCTCACCACAGACGCCAGCAGTGGGTCGGCGTTGCCGCCCACGGCCAGGAACATGTCGTAGCTATAGAGGTGGATGGCCGGCGTGCCGGAGGTGGCCTTGCAGATGGTGACAGTGATGCTGATGATGAGCGGCATGTAGAAGGCGCGCTGGCGCACCTCGCCGAGCGGCGGCAGGTCTGGGTTGTGTGCCAGGCTGCGCTGCTTAATACGCGCCAGCTCGGCCTCAGCACCCTGGTCGCCCGAGTAGAAGAGCAGCGAGCGGTGTGCCTCCTCGTCGCGGTTGTGCGTCGCCAGCCAGTTGGGCGTCTCCGGCAGCCGCCACAGCACCAGCGGGTACAGGCCGTAGAAGGTGGCGATCACGCCACCGATCTGCTGCCACGTCAGGAAGAAGCCCATGCTGTAGACAGCGATGAGGCCGACGTTGATGCAGAACATGCCAGAGCCGACCAGCGCGCCGCGCAGCTCTGGTGCCACCGTCTCGCTGATGAAGATGTGCGCCATTGGAAGCACCGATCCCATGCCCAGGCCGTTGAGGAAGCGGCCGGCCAGCAGCATCTCAACGCTGGTGGGGAACGTCATCAGCAGCGAGCCCAAGCACATGACGGGCGAGACGAGCATAAGCGAGCGACGCCGGCCAAACGCTAGCATCAGACCCTGCAGCGGCGTACCCAGCGCGATACCCAGCAGGAAGATGCTGCCGATCCAGGAGGCATCTTCGTCGCTGACGGCGAGGCCCGAGCCGCTGCGCCGCAGCTGGGGCAGCGCCGGCGTCGTGTAGCCTTCCAGCAGGCCGTACGCCGTCAGGAAGCCGTTGGCAGCCACCGAGCCCAGGATCTGCGACAGAGACGCGCTGTGGGCCGGCTCGTACGCGGCGTGGGTAGCGAAAGCTGGTGCGGGGTCGGTGAGCAGAGCGGACAAGAGGCAGGCAGGTGAGCATTTTGCAAAGTAAAGAAGCTGGCTGGCGTAAGTTCGCAGCGGGGAGGTGTCGCTGGTGCAAATGTCAGTCTAACAGTTTGCAGCCCGTTTGTGCGCCGCGGCATTTAAACGAAGATCTGCGTCCTTCCGATCGAAAGTAAACAGTGTACTTAGGTAACTTGGTAGAGTATTTTGGGTTGGGATGGTGAGATCAGCGCGTCGTCTCGGCTGCGTCTTTAATAATTCGGATGAGCTGTTTGAGGTAGTCATCTTCGCGTAATTATCGATGGGCTACGGGCTCAGCACCGTTTGCATCCATGCCCGCGGAATGCTCACTTTGGACTGAGCGCCCACGAGTTAAAAATATTTCGACAAGATTTGCTTTGGTTTCATGCCTCGCGACCAAAGAATCTTCGCTCAGTAGAACCGAACAAAATTTGGGTGGTAAATCGCACGGCATCTTACAAGCGCCCTATCTTTCTTAAAAGCAGCATGCAATTCAGGGCATATCTTAACATGTTGGATGGGGAGGGAATGATCCCCATTAGTGGTCGTTAAATCCCCCACCCAAGTTAACCACAAAATCCCCTCCCCGGTGTAAAACTTGATTTACCACCAGATCACGCTCGACCAAATATTTGAAACGGTTCCGGCAGAGCTCGGAGTCGCAGTGGATGCCTACATTCTGTATGGCGTCAAGCACTCTAAGGTGCAGCAGTTGTACTTAAATGAGTAAGAAAGAAAACCACAAGAAATGAGCGAGAAGCCGCTTTTGAGACGTCAGAAATGTCCGTATCAGACGTCAGACAGGACAGCCAGACAGACAAGTCCGGTATGGTATGTTCTCGATCTTATCTTCACGCATCGACGTCCGTCAGCTGCAATTTTATTGTGGGTAGATGTGTGCCGAAATACAGGCAAGAGTAGGATCGGCAGTTTTGTTAATTTTTGGACCGTTCTGCTAGATTCCATTCTGATTTGTTCATTTTTATGAACAGCTGGGACCGCGAGTAAGGTAAGATAAGCCGCGTAAAAACACTGGCGAGTTTTACGCACAGAACCTGCAGTTTCGAACATCACGAACGACGCTTCACGCAAATGGCTTTCAATTGCAAGAGAGATCTGTCCTATCACTTTGGGATCTGCACGCCCCAGGTCAAACTGTTCACGACGACGACAAATCTTTTTTTTTGGGGGGGGGGGGGTCGGAGGCAAACGCGATTTGTCCCTCAGTTTGTCCCACGCAACGTCATTATGCTTATGTTATATTTTTGTGTACCTGGGGTATATGTGACCACTTTTAAGACACTAACTCAACTCTTGTTAATCCAGTTTTCCAGGGGAGGTGGGGGGGGGGGGGGGGGGGGGGGGGGGGGCTGGAAGCGATGGAGCCAATGGGTGGATCTTCCCATGTGTCCACTTCCTTTCCTTTCATTGTCTGTGCCTACTCCCTTTCGTTTACAGTATGGCGTTTCACGGCCTGTACAAAACATCGCCCATGTCAGTCTCTACTTAACTATCTTTGCTAAACACGGGTAGTTTGCTGGTGTTTGGATCTCTTTGGACGCACACGTATACCTAACAAGTTTCCGTAGTTTCCTTGGCTCCCATACCTGCGCGTGGGCTGTGTACGTCAACGCGCCCACGCCATCCTGATTTTTACGGTGGCTCCAGAGGTACGGCTTACGTATACGCGCTTCAAGCAGGGGAGCGGGAGGGGCACAACTCAGATACGCTCAGTGGAAACCGAGGGCAGTGAGTTGCAGGCCTGCAAATTTTACGCGGGTCGTAAAATGGAATGGCATGTTATCAATGTCATTGTTACGTGTTCAGCTGTAATGTTTAACTTTCAGTGTTCAGTCGCGCATACATTAATTAACGCCATAAATTTGGTAAATGGCGTCACGTGACAGTGGTGCTTGTATGTGTACACCCGCTGTCTGTGCAGCGGATGACGCTTGCCCCTAGCGGTTCATGAGGCCAGAATCATGCTACCGCCGCCGAGTCCACCGCCGCCAAAACAAATGCGTCCATGAACTGACAGCCATTTTAAGATAACTCCCTGCAGTTCAAAGTTATTATTACTATAGTCTATTAGTCTAATTATATTTATGTAATGATAATAATAAAATAATCTAACATAGTCTAAATCTATTATATTATAGTCTTCTTAAGACTTAAACTCTGTTCTGTCACGGTCAGTATGGCAGCGGCCCTGACGTCATAAAGCATGAAAACATTTTGTAACGCAACCCGAGGATGATGCCCTCGAAGCACGTCATTATCAAATAGTAAAATTATGTTATCTGAAGCAGTCTTTTGCATACTCATACTTAAAAGTGAGCTTGTTCCCTCATACCCGATGTTTGTGTCAATATTTTGGAATCTAGGACATTTTATATTAATCATCACCTTATGAGGGTGCGTGCTGAATGGTCGCAAAACATCTTTTGAGCTCTTTTGAAAGCCAGCATTGTGAACCGATAACGCTGGAATGCATAGCTAACGAATCGAGCCCAAGCTTTTATGATGCGGCCTGCAAATGACCCAGTGAAAAGTCCAAACGACGGCCTGTGCTCGGTTATCGCTTGGCTATCACAGCTGCATTACTTGCATGTCGGAAATTGTAATGCAGTCATTCTGTCAAAAGCTCCGTCCTTGTATTTTGAAAGGTCGGTTATTCACAGCTGGTCGAATACTCACTGCTGCGACATTCTTCATAGCGATAAGTATCGTTGAAAAGCTACCTACACGTAGAATCCCAACGATCTCCCTCTATCTGCGACCCTAAATTTCGTGCACCGGCGCTATTCGAGTAAATCAGCGTCCTCCGACAAGCAGGGATACCAAAATTAGTCGTCGTTTGCACATCAAAATGAAATTGTCCTCAACGGCTTGACTACTGCTCAACGTGTTTCTTAATGGCATTCTTATGGGTTTTAAAACGGACATTTCCATTAGCACAACGGGCTCACCGATCCTCGCAGCGAATCACCAGCACGCTTGTGCACTTTTCACTCCGTACATGCGTGCCGTAAATATTTCTGGCTCTTACAACCCTCTGCTCAACCTGCACAATTTTAACAAAAAACACTTCGGCTCACCAAAAAAAAAAAACAACTGAAAATGGACGTTGTGTGCAACTGTCGGTATGCCAGTAAGGTTGGCGAAATGCGCACATTTTGCTCGCGTGCTAAATGGAATTTACCTGGCCCAAATTCCCAAGTCATTCCTCTTCAAATACGCCCTGCCGCAACTGCAAAATATTGCAATTTAACGGAAGCCAGCATACTTAAGCTTTGCCGCACGACAAAGACCATGCCAGCCGTCAGCACCTCTTAGGTCTGGCTGCCACGCATGCGGTACCCCGCTTGTGCCGTGCAAAACGACAACCTAGACGCCAGCGTAGGTACGCCCACCGCATACCTGAACCAAAGAAGTGCACTTTATTTGACCAATCAAAAATAATTTACTTATTGCGTGCTTCAGGTGACGCGCGTACGCTGCTCAATACCATTCACAATGGCAGCTAACCTTATCCACAGCGTGCTTCAGGTGATTCAGTTAACTTGTCCAGTAACATGGGGTGGGCCCCGCGTCGCTGACGAGGCTCGAGCGAAGGGGGGCCCGTTGAACTCCCATGTCGTTTACGCAGGATTGGCGCCTGTGGCTTTTCTTTAAGCACGGGCGTGACTTTTTACTCCTGGCTGACTATTGACCTGACCTATTGACCTATTGACCTGACTGACCTATTTACTTCTGACTGACTATTGACCTTAAGAGGAATGACTTGGGAGGGGGGGGGGGGATTTGGGCCAGTTAAATTCCACATGGCCATTGACTCCCTCCATCCTGCCCTCTCCTCTACGAAAAATTAAAAAAACATGTGTACCAAACGGTACTTGCATTAATGTAATCAAGATTTGCCTCATGCTTATTGTCCATGTCATCTTTTACATCATTAACATCTGTCTCACATCATATGAATTTCCTGATTCCTGGAAACATCGCAGAGTATATCCCACTTACAAGCTCGGAAGCCCATCAGATGCCTCAAACTTTAGACCGCTTTACACTATTCTTGCGGCTCCAAAAGCTGTTGAGATGGTGGTGCAGCGACATCTCTACTCCTAAATGGCCGAAAATAATCCCTTTTTCTCGTTCTAGAACGGTTTTTGCCCCAATCTCTCCACAGAAACCGCGCTCCTCACCGTATGCGAACATATCCTTATCGCCACCGACCTCCAGGAACTTCCCCTTCTCCGCCTTCCGGTCGCACCCAAATCCTTCGATGTGATCGACTACACAAAGCTTCCTCTCAAGCAACTTCAAGCGTCTACTGACGAGCGTGGTAACCGATTCAAACATCCACTGACGGGCGTGATAAGCGAAACTTTCCAAGGATCAGCCCTAGCCCCATTCCTCTTCCAGATATCTGCCAGCGACAAGCTCCTGCTCGCTCCTGATGCGCATGTGATCCAGTACGTTGATAATATTTAAGTTTTGGTGTCTGAAAAGGACTCCCTCCCTCAGCTCATTACCACAAAGGAACAGCCAATGTAGAGTCCTTGGACATCTGATTCCACTCCTACGGTCTGAAAGCAAATACCAGTTGAACGTAACTCATGTCCGTGATTTCCGTCAAAATTGTCGTGACACGGCTCTCGTTACTGTTCGGTTTCACAAGGGTGCAGGGCAGGAGGGCCCCACCGTGATAAACCTTGGCGTAGTGTTTGCCAAGTACCTGACCTGGGATTCTCACGTTCTGCCCCCATCAAAAAAAGGATGGTATCTGCATCGGACGCGCGTCACCCCACCCCGCATAACCTTCTGTCTGCCCTGGTCTCCAAAAGATCTTGAACTTTTGACTCGAAAGATGGCTTCTCTCCCCGTAATGCGGTGTACCCCAGGGCTCGATCATCGGTCCAATTTTGTTCATTTTGTTTACCAATGATCTTTATGGACGCTTGACTTGTGGCCGCCTCATCTCTTACACTGACGACACTATGCACGCGGGCGGCGCGCCCTCTCTGACGGAGCGGGTCTCGCCAACCTCAAAACCGGACTGGAACTTACCATCCGTGGGCTTCAGAACTGGCTCAGCGCCAATTCTCACCAAACAAACGAAACGAAAGCTGCTTTCATGTTAGTTGGGTCAAACCTAAAAAATCAGCTGACTTCAACTTTAAAGTAAACGGTTCGACTGTGCATGCCTCAAGCAGCATCCAAATTCTCGACGTCATGGTTGAATGCGGCCTGTCATGAGGTGAACACCTCTCAGGCGTCGCGAAAGAATGCAATGAAAATGCAATCCTCGTTACTCAGTACAAATTCCGGCAATGCTTCACCTCAGTTCTTCTCAAAATCATTATCCAGGCGTACGTGTTCCCTCATATCGCCTACTGTGAGTGCGTCTGGGGTGGGGAGATCAAGATTCAGCTATACAAAATTTTTAAAAAAACAATCAAATCTGCTGCAAGAGTAATTACGAGCTCCAAAAAGCACCATCAAATAACTCCGGCTCTACATTTCCTTGGCTGGCCGAGGATCGAAGCCAGGGTGGCGTACCGTGTCGTGATTTAAATGTATAAGGCGTTGAAGGCGGTAGGCACGCCTCACGAGTTCCGCGCGCTTCCTGTCCCACGCGCCGCTGTTTCGACCCGTGAAACACGCGCCTCGGACAAAAGTAGTCTGTACCGGCGCAGGTACCGACTGACCGCCACACGGAGGGCGGCTTCGCATCGAGCCGCAGCTGCCTGGAACCGCCTATCATTGTGATGCCAAGGCACTGAACGCGTTTAAGACCGCCATTCGTAACATGTTTTTCACCACTGGCCACTGACCACTGATCTGATCCGGCCCATATTGCATTGATAGGTCCGTTTTAGCTCTTTGACTATTGCTCATATCATTTTATTGTATGCCTTTTGTGTGTGCATTCTTATACTGCACCTTTATATAACACGAAAAATGGCCTTGAATTGAAACCGTAATAGTCGCCGCCTGGATGTTTTCCAATATACTGATACTGGTGCTGATACAGATACCGAACTTTGTGAACGTATGTGAATTGAACAGAGACAACTTTAAACGCTGTCTCCGGCCGTCACAAATTTGATTGAATCTCGGACGTGCCCGCTAAGCTAGGCTGGGCCACTGGCAACCAACTTTACCAATATAACTCTATTCGCTTGCTCCAGAGAATGCGAGTTACTGGCGAACCGCAAGCTTTTGCCTCCTAGACACAGCCTCCAAATGTTCTCTTTGCTCGTGTTATATCCGTCATTACACTGATCTAGCTCTCCCACGCGTGAGGACGGAGGCGGGTAAGCGGCGCCTCCTGTATAGAATCGCTCCTCTTTCACTTTTTCTTTTTGTCTTTGTCTTTGTCTTTGTCTTTGTCTTGTCTTTGCGGGTGTGGATGTGGGTGTGAATGTGGGTGTGGGTGTGTATGTGGGTTTGGGTGAGTGTGTGTGTTCATCCTGAGGTAAGTTTTCTGTGGATTTTTTGTGGATCGTTGTGAGATATTGCCTATTTATTTGCCTATTACTTGCCTATTATATATTGCCTATTATTAGCTATTATATGTTGGAGTGTTCTAAGGAAAGCACTCCATTTCTTGTGCTTTTCACTTAATGTTGCATCAGACGTGTACGAATTTATCTGTAAACCAGTTTTCTCGGAATCTGAATAGTTCATAATCTGGATTCGAAGTAGCCGACCCTGCGAGAGAAACCCCATTTAACTCACCGCTTGCTACTGTAAAGCAATACATTCCATTTGCCTTGTTTTTCCAGCGTGTGTGCTCTGCAATGCTTGCAACACACTTAAGTAAAAATATGTGTGTAATGAATGCTCTGAAAACTTGAAACACTCTGTTTAGACAAAAATATCTGCAATCGTGAAGCTATTATCCCGCGAATTCAACGAAACATTATCCTATGGCTTTGTTTTCTCCCTTATGGTATTTGCCGCAATAGTTATTTTCGAGGCGCACTTTGGCTTTGGGAATGCGTCACATGATCCATGTGACGCACTGGTTCAAACTTAAATCAATGTGCTTCTCGGTGACAGGTCCTTGCCCGCTGAGCCAATCTCAAACATTATTTCATTCGCAACAACAGTGGTACGCACGGTAGTTGTCATGACGACGGTGGTTGCGTCTGCAGGGAGAAGCGTAGTGCTGGTGTAAAGCGTTGCCAGCGTTATCTGGATCAAAACATAATTAAAGTCGATAAATTTATAACGTCTTGACTGTACTGTAGTGGCACTGCCCGGTGCTACCGTTAGACGCAAGTAGCCGCGAGGTTTCACTAGAGTACGTTTTTGAAATATGCCCCAAATGTGGGACACTCCCTTCAAACATGAGTATATACATACATGCATACAGCATACATAGCGGTAACTGATCCCAGGCATACATCGCATAGTGTTTACATGGGGTATCTAAAGATGATATTTTGCCTGCGATAATAGGAGAATGGCAGGGATTAAAAGACCGACCAAACTTGTTAATGTTACAAGTCTGTGGAACCGATTGCCACGAACCCTTTATAAACCGATGCGTCGTGAACGATAGCCCACTCCTTCTAGAGCATGGTGACCCAGGGTCAGGTGAGAGTCAACGAAACTTCCAAGCAGGATGCTGCCTGCTAACTACGTTTTGGCGGTTTCGGAATTTTCTCGCGACCTTTGACCTAACCCAAGGCCACCATGTTCTGGAAGTAACAAGAAATCAACCATGCCGCATCGAATGGGAAAGGTCTGGTAGCGAGCGGCACCGTAGCCTTTGAGCGTGAGGTTGCCATCAAGTTTGGGCGACCACTCAGCCCTGGCCTGGAAAGTATAGCACACGGCGCTACCCAAATGTTGCAGAGTCTAGCACACTTTGCGGTGGAAATGACAGACGGGTAGCCTCTACTAGTTTCCACATGATTCACGAAGCACGTCATATTTACGAACAAGAGCGAACCGGTCGCCTTCGCCGACAGCAATTATCGACCCGTCACTGCCTCGACATTCCAGAGCAGGTCCGTGCCTTCCGAACAACTTTGTACCAAGCCGGTCCAAAGATACGCACCCTGCTGTGCGCTTAGTCCAAGCCCATACGGCCGGCGTGCTTACCTGACGGCCCTTGCCCATAGCGGCTGTTGGTGGTGCCTGGCCTGAGGCACCTCTGGCCAGACACAGGCTCCGGCCGCCGCTCAGGTGTGTCGGCCCCCATTAGGAGGTGATGACCGAGCCAGCTGGTCACGCAGCCCACTTGGTCGCCCGCCGTGGCCAGCTGGTGACAATCAGCTGACGCACGGCCTCGACCCTGCATTTGAGCGTGGACAGTTATTCGTACAACGGTGTCATTGACGACCAGTTCGACATGGGGAACGGTGCCAGCTTGATGCGGTCATTGGGGCATGCACCGAGAAGTATGCAGCAGTATGATTGTGATGCCTCCCGTTGCAACCATGAAAGGGAATGTTTCGCCTTTGAAGATATTGAAGCAAGCATCAAATATGATGAAACAAACTCTTTTAACTTTTGGTATGCTTGTAAGTGGGAAAAACTGCTCTTAACGGCACAAGTTCCCTGTTTGCTAAATACGCTCCTTGGTGCATCATTGCTCGATTACGTCATCGTACATTGCACAACAATGATTGGAAGCCAATCGACGGCTGTTAGATCTGGTGACGTAACGGCTAGGCAATTATATTTGTATTGGCCTTGATCGCCGCAGGGCGAATGAAGTGACAGGATTTGAATGACCTCATTATTGCATCATGGATACCTGGGGCTTTGAAATCGTCCACCCGAAATGGTCTGGGCATCTTCGCGGGCGTGTAGCTCAGAAACTAGCGGGTCTTGAGAAGAACAAGAAGGTCTTAAAAAAGAACAGAGCTGTGAACTGCATCGAATAATCTTCAGGATGGCTTTATCAGTTCGAAACCCCATACAAATCGTGAGCACTCCCTTGAGAGGACATTATCAAGAGGGCATTGGCTTTATAAGACTCGAAGTTTTGGACTGAATTCATGATTACGAGTGATGGTGGGCATTGATGAATATGTCTATGAGGGTGCCCAGTTTATGCTGGACACCATTTTTTAAGCAAGAAGAGATGCAGCTTATCAGAATTCTCTGCTTAATGCCAGTTTTCTCCGTCTGTTTCTAGCCAGCAGAGTCACATGGCATAAATATGCAATACGATGTGCTTCGTTTGGGCCGTGGCGCCGTGCGCGCCGGTCTGCTGGTCGACCGGCGGCGCCGGCTGGCTGATCATTGGCAGCCTTAGAACACGAGTGGCCACGTGACCGACAGGTGGTCTTGGAAAGCTGCCTGCGTCCGCGACGGAACCGGAGCGCGTGTTTATTCAGGGAGATATTTAAATTTCACTGCAGGCAAACACGTGCTGCAAAACGATCAATGTAGGGAAGCCTTTTAACTCGCTCCCAGACCCTACTGCTGTGCACACAGGATTGTTGCACAAATTAACGCGTATGTCGAGCACGGAAGTGACATGGCTCGTACACCTGGGTCTTCCACGCATATAAGTGAAACGGAACGGGACCGGCACGAGCCAAGGCTTCATACAACAACGCGACTTAATTTTGAGCGTGTGTGGCCACCAGGCCATACGCCAACCCCAGGGTAGGGAATGACACCGAAACAAGGACACAGTAACCGGGGAGGGGGAGGGTACTGGGCGAAGTTCACCCATCCCCCAAACTTGAAACCTTGGGGGCCGCATTCAAAAGTCTATTTTGGCCCGTTGAAGACCCATTCTGGGCTATTATCCTTCTGACCAAAAGAGAGCAATTCTGAGCATGAGGAGAACTCATTCAGGCCCTCAGTGGTCCATTCTAAGGTGTAGGCGGCCCATTATTGACTATGGCGGGCCCATTTTGGCCTGTAAAGGGGCCAACCTGGCCTTAAGAGGGATCATTCTGGCCTGAAGACGGCCTATTCTGGCCTGTGAATGACCCATTATGACATAGAGACTTGTGACCCGTAGAACGTCTATTATTCGTTGTTGACAGTTTAATTCCATTCTGAATTGTCGATGATCCATCCGCCCCGTAAAGCCCCATTATCTAATCTTAGAAGGCCTATTTTGGCGTTTTGGAGTCACCCAACATGGACATCATTATCCCGCCCCTGTACCCTTCCACCACGACCCTTGATCCCTTGACCACGTAGCATGCGTAACGTGATCAGCGCGGCGTTAGGTTGTTGACCACGTGACTCGGGTGAGGCTGCGGTTGCGCCTGCGGCTGAGTCTGGGCCTGGTACTGCAGCTGAGCCTGAGCCTGGGACTGCGGCTAGGCCTGGGCTTGGGCCTGGGCCTGAGACTGCGGGTGGGGCCTGGGCCTGGTACTGCGGCTGTGCCTGGACCTGGTACTGCGGCGGGGCCTGGGCTGGCCTGGGCCTGGGACCGCGGCTGACACCGAGACTGGGGCTGGTTCTGGTACTGGTACTGGGACTGGGACTGAGACTGACACTGAGACCGAGACTGTGACTGGGACCGGGACTGGGAGTGGGACTGGGACTGGGCTTGGAACTGGGCTGGGGTTGGGGCTAGGGCTGAGGACTGAAATAACATGACCAAGGTCGGCAGATTGGGGAAAGCAGGGGGAGGTTACCCCCTGCCAAATCTGGGCAGTATTCAACATTGTGACAGTACACCCATGAAAGCGGTAGGTTACGTCGGCCCTCGCTAGCCTCCACAGAGTGTCCGCCACTACCGGGCACGGCGTGACAGGGCAGAAGACAGGACCGGGCGTGGGACAGGAGGCAACAGAACAGTACATCAGGCCAGGACAGATCAGCAACTGGGGCCAGGACAGATCAGCAACTGGGGCACGTTGAAAACGCACAGGGTAGAAGAGCGCAGGACAGGAGACAGCGCGATGGAACATGAAGAGAGATAATGGCACCTGGCAGGGGAGCAGATGATAGCACACGGCGGAAGATTGCGGAAAGACAGGACTGAGAGGCGAGCTGAGGGCAACGTGGGCTGGGGTTGAGGGATTTAAGAAGCATTTTGTCCCTTTAGATGTGGTTCGAGTACACACGACAGGTTCTAGAGATGACAGAACAGATTAAGACGGAGACAACAGGGCGAAGGACAGCCCGCAAAGCACAGCACAGCACAGAATGTGGCAAAGCCGAACGGAATTTGTCAAAATAGAACAAGGTTTAGCTGAAAAGCCAATTCAAAAGATGTTTATTTCACTCTTAATGCAATTGCATTGCGCATGTTAGACGTCTTCACCTGGCTTAATGACGTTTGCGTACGATGCCGTTCAAGTTACTGGCCATTTTAAGATGAACATAGTGTATACACACCTATCCGACGCTCGCAAGCTGTCTGCATCGAGTAAAATCCCGAATGTTTGAAATCGCACTTTTTCATCTTTACATAATCCGCAACGATGTCACGCTCCATGGCAGCACGGAACTTAACAGGCATGTTGCTTGTTCAGCTATGAGAACAATGGGGAATAGTTTTACGTGTTCTGACCATATGCTTACGATGTATCAGTACGTTAATGTAAAGATGCCGTTCCACCGCGTGCGTTTCTCGGCACCGCCCTCAGCTCCCCACACATTCATAACGGCATCCGAACCTGTCACTACTCCTCATTCTCGTTTTATCAGGATCACAGCCCGCCCCTCCCCCTCCCCCCCCCCCCCCCCGCCCCTCCAGTTCGCGTCCCCGCTCCCCAACACTCCACTTTGGCTAGAATCTCCGGGAGCCAGTAGGGCCTCATGCGGGTCTAGCGGCTTGTCGCTCGCTCTGCGGCTGGGTGCTCTATGCGGGTCTCCGCTTGGGTGCTTGGCCGCACGCGGTGGCTTATAGGGACGAGGGGGCGGCGCGCTGAACCACGGTCAGGACTACTTGATTACACATGGCCGCATGGTAGGCGTCGTTCGCCCCGCATAGCACCGCGGTAGCCCCAGCGGCACCACCTCCCTTTGGATGAGAGGCTGTCCCTTAGTTGGGCTTAGGTGGGTGGCGCGCCGTGGTGCCGAACTGTTTCTCTTTGCTTAAGATATTCTCGAACCCCAAACCCAGTTACGGCCACCAGTGCCTTCGCCCGTTTCACTCAGGTGCAGCGGACGGATATGTCATCGGTCCCGGTAGGTGGCGGGGAGTCGGTTCCCCCTCTTCCCGGGTACTAATTTTTCGCGGCGAGGACAAGTTTCTGTATTCCCTGTTACCTTTCCAGCGCCAGAATAGATGCAATAGATTCGGATCAGTGCGTTGTTGCGGCAGGTTGAAGATGGAGGGTTGGACGTGGAGTTTGAGAGCAGAGAGGAGGCGCAACAAGCGATGCGAGCGAAGCAATCTATTTACAGCGTTGGGGATGTCGAAGGCAAAACAGAAATGGCCCAATCTTTGACGGAATGAAAACACAAAACGAAGAACGCATTAGGAAGCGTAATAAGCCGTCTTAATTTGCAAGGGGTGAGTAACGAGGTGATCGTTGACGGTCTAGCGGAGTTTGGCGTCACAGAAATCCGTCATACACAGGTACGAATCGAGGCCAACCCAGTTCCCACGAATAGCATTATGCTGGCTTTGAGCCAAACAAATGTCCGCAATGAAAGCAAGGTCTGCAACGTAAGGGTGAGGGTACGACCGTACATAATAAGCCCCAAGCGATGCTGTAAGTGACAACGCCATGTCCATACGAGAGACATATCGGCACACACAGGCCTGCGACGTGTCACAACGGCGCTGCGTGCGACAAGTGTGCCTCCTCAAATTATGCGGGTGAGGAGTGCAAGTCAGAGTCCCCTGGTGAGTGATCTGCGGCCGAGGACACTCACCTCATAATGCATTTGATAGAAGATGCCCTTCTTACGCCAGAGAGAAAGAGAACATCGCCACCAAACGCACTTGCGTTTTGCACTTGCGAAAACGCACAATGCGCGTTTTCGGGGGGCTGAAGCGACGTCCGTCAGCGCGCACCCGACCGTGTCCCACGCTGACAGGATCAGGGTCACAGGGATCAGCGGGTCAACGGTCCGCCAGCGCCGTGCGCCTGATCAGGTGATGGCTGCTCAGTTGATCTCACGGCTGAAATATTTCGTCCTGAGAGTCGGGCCCGTATCTGAGGCCCGGCGTACGCTCCCGGTGCAGGCGTGAGTTCCAGTCCGGATGAC